GCCGCGGGGACACGGTCACCCCAAACTGCCCGGGGTGCAGCTCGGGGGCCGGCGCGGTGGCTGGGGAGCCGCGGTGCCGCGGGGACCTGTTCCGCACTGGTGCCACTGGCTGCTCCCAACGCAGGACAGGGCACCGCGGCCGCTCTTCCCCCGCCGCCTTGAGCAGGCGCGGGTTTCTGAAAGGCAAATCCCTGTTAGTGCAGGGAGCGTGCCTAACCCGCAGCAATTCCCAACTGTGAGCGCTTTCAATTAGCGACTGCAGGCGCTCGGCCTGCTGGATGTGTTCATTAGTGACATGGCCTTGCCGCTCAGCGACAGGCCGGGTGACAAACCTGTCTGAGGGACGCGCGAGGTTCCGGCTGTGGCACGGTGCTCGCGTTAGCGCAGGGAGGAGGGCGGGAAGGTGGGGTGTCCCCAGGTGCCGGCGGCAGAGCGGGGACGCGCTCCCACCGCAGGGACCCGGGGGGGGATGGCAGAGCCCCAGCGCTCACGTCCCTGGCGAGGGTGACCCAGTGCCCGTGATGGAGCTGGTGGAGGAGCCTCCCCTGTCCCAGGCTCAGCACATCCATCAGCGGGAGAACCACTGGCAGAGCTCCTGGGGCCGCCACGAGTGCTGAGTCCTCCAAACCCCGCTGAGCAGATGGCCCGGAGCCACCTTCAGAGACACCTGGCGAGCAGAAGGACGTGTCCTGTCCTCCGCCGTGGGAGGGGGAGAAGAACCGCGGGGGCCGTCAGTGCTTCTGCAGGGCAGCAGCCCAGGGGACCCCCCCCTGCCCAGGGAAGATGTTCTGGCATGGCCGTGGCGCTGCCCGAGCTGAGCCCCCCGCAGAGGATTTGCCCCCCGCCGGGTATCACTGCCCTCCCGGCTGCTCCCGTGGCAGCCCGGTGAAGGCACTGCGCTTCCACGGGGCTCGACTGGCCCAATAAAAGATTATCAGCTAAATAAAACACGAAGTGAGTGATGCCACTATGCCCTGTTGGATTGAAATTGTGTGAGCAAAGTGGTTTTCTCGGGGAGATTTATTTCCTCTGCTGGCTGCAGGCAGCCAGCCCGGCGGGGAGAATGAGCCTCTCGCTCCGAGGCCACCGCTCCCTCCTGCAGTCAGCACTCGGCTTTTATTTCATTTTTGAGGGAATCAGAACAATAAAGGAAATACAAACATATATTCGCCCATCGCAAAGCACAGGAGCACATGCATGTGCACACACACGCTCACCAGTACCCATGTGCTCCAGCCCTGCTCTCCCACCACACCAGCAGTGCCCAGCCACCACCTCAGCCCCCAAATCCCACCCGTGACCCACGGCCGGAGCCAGGAGGGTGATCCCACACCGGTGGGACGGCTCCTGCCCCAGCCTGGGCCCGCTGCGACAGCCGGGGCAGCGCGGGCACCCGTCCCCAGCGCCACAGCGGGACACCAGCTGGGGGGGGTCTGTGCCCCAAAACCCAGCCGGGGAGGGGGCAGGCAGCGGGTACGGGGGGTGGTAGAACCGACAGCACCGCTCGGGTTAAAGCAAAACCAGCGGTCGCCGTGTCTGCTGGCCCTGGGCAGTAAAGCCAAGCAGCGGCTCGGCACACACTTTGCTCTGCTCCGGGCCGGGCCGGCCGAGCGCACGGCACAGCCGGCACGTCCTCCACCCCAGCGAGCTCAGCACCCGGCCCTGGGTGCTGGCACCCCCGCTTTCGGTGCCCAGTGCCCGCAGGGGCTGCGCCCCGGCCCAGGACGAGTCCCCCAGACCTCGGGGAGGTCCTCGGGAGGAGCTGCCGTCTCTGCCATGGGTGACTGCCGGCGGTGGGGGACAGACCCCGGGGGCTCTGCCCCGCCACAGCCCGCGGGAGCTGCCGCAACCCCAAACCCGGTGCCTGAGGGGATCAAATCCCCACTGCTCGGAGCGATCCCCTCGCAGACAGCACGGCAGAAATGGAGTCTGAGCCCGCTCACCACCGCCTCTCCTGCCGCCAGCTTCCAGCTCAGCTTCCGTCCCCCTGTAACGCTCCTGCCGAGCCCCGCGCGCTGGAAAGCACACCATTAGATCCCCAGTAATTGTAAATATTGCAAAGTGCTCGAGTCAGCAGTCTCGCTGAATTTTGCTTTCAACATCTGCAGCCCAATAAATCTTTGTCTCCTTCAGGTGAACCGTGCTCTCCGCTCGGGCTCCGATTCCCATCCCTCAGCACCATCACTGCAGCAGCGCCGGCCCCAGCCGGGTTGTCACCCCCCGGGGCCGCGGGGCTGGCGAGGGACCCGCCAGGCTCCCGGGAGCCGCGGGCAGCCCCGGCCGTGCCAGCGCCGAGCGGCCGCACTGCAACGGGCCTGGCGGCCACCGGCACCGTTCGCTTTGTGCCAAAACCCGTCTATTTGCCAGACCTTCACTGGGCTATTTTTTTTTTTTTTTTTTAATTGTTTTCAAAACAGATTTCATGTGGTCCCAGAATGAGACCATGATTGTAAATTAAAGTGTAATTAGCCTTTACGCTTTTATATTCATTAACTCTTCTCTGTTAATGATGCAGAGGCTGGAGCACAAACCCAGCATTATGAAACCACATCCAGGAAATAAAATAGTGATTTAGATAATGGCCAGAATGTATTGCTACTTACACATAATTAAACAAATGCTCAATTTACACTTGGAAACATGAATGAATGTTGATTAACCCCAGCCCAACGACTCTGCTGGTGCTGTGGCTAAGGGGCTGCGCTGCCGGCGGGGCTGGGAGCAGTGGGCGTGGCAGGGTGTGGCAGGGTGTGGCAGGGCGTGGCAGGGCCGAGCGGGGCCATGGGCACCTGAGCCGCTGGGGTTCTGCAGGCTGGTCCCCAAAGCCACCCGTCCCCGCAGCAGCGACATCCCCGCTGCCGCCCACGCGGGGGTCGCTGCCGGGGGGCTGGATCCGGCTCCTCGCGGAGGCAGCGGGGCCCCGGGCGCCATCGCCTTCGCTCCCGGCACCGTGTGCCGTGGGGTGCCGTGGGGTGCCCCATGCGGTGCCGGTGGGGTGCCGTGGGGTGCCATGGGGGTGCTGGTGGGGTGCCCCATGCGGTGCCGGTGGGCTGTGCCGGGGGGTCTGCCTGCTGCGCCCGCACAGGCTTTGTCTCCCGTCCCCCTGCCCTCCAAATGTGCCAGTTACTATGGCGACGTCGCCTCCTCAGCGCAGGAGGAGCCTAGCAAAGTCCACTTGTGCTAAGATAATGTTCTTTTTTGCTGTAGAACTGGGTACGGTCAGCCCCGGGCGGGGGACCCCCGGCTCCATCTCCCCTCGGGGTGGCACAGCGCGGGCCGGGCCCCGGCTCTGGGCTCTGCCAGGGGCTCCGGGCCCGATGCTGTCGCTGTGCCGAAAGCAGGGGCTCCCTCGCCCTGGTGACCCCCCGGGGCAAGGGGTGCCAGCTCCCCAGCTGAGCCCGAGGAGCAGAGCTGCTGGCAGGGGCAGCTCGGACCCCCCGAAAGGGGCCGGTGGATGCTGGTGATGAGGCAGCAAGCGGGGCCCCCGCGGCTTTTTCCCGCTGAGGGGCTCCCCCCAGCAGGGCTCTCCCCTCGCTGAGCCAGAGCCCAGGTCGTGCTGGTCACAGGGGAGCGGGGCAGGGGGGGCCGGGGTGGGTGCAGATGAGCCCCTGGGGAACCCTAGGGCCGTGTCCCCCCCCAAGCCAGGCTCCGGGCTGCCCCGCAAGGTGAGGAGCCCCCACTCCCCAAATCCATCCCTGCCCCGGCACCCCGCAGCGCTGGGGTGAAGGACAGGATGGACACGAGGGTGCTGGCGCGGGAGGGGAGACCCCTGCTCCCCACGCCTCCCCCCGTTCATGGATCGTTGACTCAACAGGCCATAATGGCTCCATCTATCGGGGTCAATACGGGTGCCTTTGACACATGATAGACAATAATTGCTCCTGCTTAGAGACTTTTTAGTTCATGGATCATTGACCTGATGGGCTGTAACAGCTCCGGAGGAGGCTGCACACGCGCTCGACACCCCCCACTTAAACGCCCTCAGGAGGGGCCGGGTAAGAGCTCAGCGGGAGCGCAGGGCCGTGCTCTCCCCAAAAACCTGCTCCCCAGCAGGGGTTACCAAGGGCCCCGCAGGAAAGGCCAGCAGGCCCCAGCACCCCTCAAGCCCCAGGGGCTGGGGACCATCCTGCACGAGGACGGGTTCACCTCCCCAGGTCTGTAGGCTAGAGCTCGCCTCTCCAACGGCAACTTCCAGGTATATGATTTAATGAAAGGCACAATAAGAAGTGAAACAATTAGAATTTCTGCCTCATTATCATGGTAATCTTATCAGTCGGATAATGAGGTATTAATGGAGATTTAATGTGCCTCTCATAACAGAATCCCTTGGAGAAAACACATAAGGAAATTGCTGTAAATCCACTTAATGATGGAAAGGTCCCCAAACACCATATTCCAGAGGATGAAAAATGCTGGATGCAAATGAGAGAGAATCAAGGTCAATAACACTGCGGGGACCGAGCTGATGGCAGCACCGCCCCGTCACCGCGCATCCAGCCCGGTCCCGCACCCACGGGGGGCGGGTGGGCGGCAGCCGCCGAGATCCCGTCCTGGAGGTGATGTGAACATTTCTTCAGAAATCAGATGACAAAAAAGATAGTATTTTTGGACTTGACCGCGCCCCTCAGGGCATCAAGCAGCACACGGCGGAGCCCGGACGTGGGCCTGGCCCCGCTGAGCCCCGTACAGGGCCGGGACAGCCCGGAGCTGCTTTATCCCCTCAAGCTGCTGGGACAGCCAAGCTGCTCGATTAAAAACCGTAACTGGAAAGCAGCGTGTTGAGCAGCCAGCTCAGCGGAGCGTCCTCTCCTCTCCCCTCCGCCGGATCCCGTTGCTCCCCGCGAGCTGCCGGGGCGCGAGCGGCCTGAGGACACGCGACGGCGGCGAGGCCGAGGAGGAAACGAGGCGAGGTTAGAGCGGAGCTGCTCACCCGCGCAACGCCAACTCCAGCACAGCGCCTGAGCGCGTCCGAACAGGGCAGAAACGTGAAACCCGGGCGGTTAAACTGCTCTCCTTTTAATCAGTTTTTACAGAATAATACATTAATAATCACGTTAGAGACAAGATGGGAGTCCTGTATACAAGATTGTGCAAGCTCATTAATTTAGATTTATAAAGGCTTTACCAGTTTCAAAGAGGAGAGGCAGTACAAAGCTTTTAAACAGAGGTAAAGCACAATTAAAAGGTACAGAACACACACTACTAACTCAGCAGAGATTAATTCTCAAGTCGTACGGGCTCAACCAAGTCACCAGCTGTTCCCCAAATAGGAGAATTCTTCCCCCTCCTCCTCCCCTGCCCTCCTGCCGCTCCGGCCCTCCCGCCCGCCGGCCGTGTGGCCACACAAGCCCCGCTCCTGCCAAACACACACGCTTCACCTGCCTGCAGCTCTGCTGCTGAACAGCCCTGCCTCCTCCTGCTGCTGCTGCTCCGGCCCCGGCCGCCCAGCGTTAACACGGCAGGGAGCTCGCACACTTCCGCGAGAATTTGGCTTAACAGAACATTAACGTTTTCCAAGCGATACGAACCAACACTGTGCTCACCAGAAACTCGTCTACAGGAAACAGGATCATGTTCGTGGCTTTTTTTCCTGAAATTTATGGCAGTTACATTCAGCATTTGGTAGTATAAGGTCTTCAAAACAAAAACATTTAAACTCAAATACTTAAGAGGCCATACACGTTCCCATTCTCCCTAAAGAGGATTTTAAAAAGCCTTGAAGAGAAATCTCACCTAGGTTAGGAGCCAAAAGGAATCTCCTAGGGATGAAAAAGCCCAGCCCTTTCCTTTCCATCCTCTGCCCAGAGCCGGGAGGTGCCGCCTCTGCGGGGTGAGCAGAGGCAGCCACGGCGCCGGTTCCTCCAGGCGCGGCACCACCAGCCCTTACCTGCTGCTCAGGCCCTCTCCCCCCTCCCCTTCCCCCCAAAATGTTCCCTTCATCCTTCACTGGCTGAAGTAGTTTAATTAACAGAAAGCACCAAAGTTTACAGCAACAGAGACGTGGTTGGCTGGCACCTTTTGGCAGCAGTTCTGTTACTTTTGGTCCTTTATGCACTGTCCTCTCACCTTTACTATTGCACACCAAAAGCTAACAACATCACTTCCTATACATGTAACTCATCATTTAAAAACAAAACGTTATGGGACACCAGGGAAAAACAGTAAGAGGATATTATGGGAAGGTTTTTTAGTTCTTTAGAAAGCCTAACTCTCTAACTACACCTATCAAGACTATAAAAAGCACTTTCAGAGTAGGTTGACAAAAAGAAGCAAAGGACCATCTTGTGACGAAGACTCTCAGCTCATCTGGGGCTCACTGAAACACTTACTGGTTTTAAAACAGATAAATAAAAATAATTAAAAAAAAAAAAAAAAAGACTCCAGTTCTTTTAAGTATTTTTCTACACAGAAAAACAAAGTGATAAAAACCGTGAAGGAAATGGTTCTTGCCCCTTCCATAAAGGAGAGCAAATCCAAAAGACCTGATGGTGCTGATCAAATCCTCCTTGCCAAGTTTGCAACCAGAAGCAATGTGCAGGGTAATCCCCAATTTAAGTGTCTTTGTGCCTTCTTTAAGGGTTGTACAAATACTCTCCTCGACTAAAACCCAAACTGCAGGACTAAAAGAACTTTCATACATCGGTCTTAACATCAAGTAATTCAAGTAATAATTAAATATTACAGGACACTTCAATATAAGTAAATTTATATTGCTTTTAGATATGATCTGGCCATATCTTCAAGGGCATGTTTGTGCTTCGCTGCTGAGTGTTATTGGTCAGGGCTGTGCTTGCAATATTAAGTTACATGTTCAGCACCAAAAACCCATCAAGGCTAAATAACTAGAATATTGCAATGCTACACAGACTGAGTTACCACAGTAAGGCAGATCAGAAGAATTTTGTTTCTACTGAGTATTGCTCCTCCACACAATCAAGTCTCTAATAGAGGAGAAAGACTATAGGAAAAAAAAAAAAAAAGAAAAAAGTTACCATTCCACCCATTCACCTGTAATTAGTTTGGCAAAAATGCTATACTGAATTACATATTAGAGTTCTAGAAAGTAAGCTTCTTTAATTATGCCTTGACAAGTAGCACAGCCAAATCAAGCGCTTGATACCTTACATAAGTTGCTCTAATTTCAATTAACCAAATGATTTTCCCAAGTACTAGTTGCTTACAGGTTTTAATCATCAAAACGCACACACACACACCCAAAAAAAAAAAAAAAATTAATCGTATTTTGAAAAGAATGCGAGAAATATTTTGCTTTCTTTACCACTCACAGACACCAAGTCTTAACACATCCCTCGGTCAGAAGTGCAATGAACACTCTGGGAAGAGCAAGAAATAATACTGACATGAAAGCTAAATGCTCGCTGTCCTTTTTCACTGTAATTCTAGCTAAAAAAGAACAGCGAGTGCTTATATACAGATAACAACCACTGGCCATTACTCAGACCATTTCACTCATGAAAAATCCATGTGGTGTTGCGCATAAAAACTTCTTTAAATTGGTAATTGTCAGTTTAAGGGAAAGGTGGGGTGAGAAATCTATAAAACACCCTGAACTGATGTCATGATATGTTTCATAAAGAACAGTGTTATATTTTAAAATATTTTATATGAACAGTAAAACCTGCACTGCTGCATAGCAGACAACACGAAGAACATTTAGTAAAAACATTCACTGAAACCCCTGGCGTATGTATTTAATGTCACTAATCAAAATATATATTACAGTCCAAGGTTCTGTTAAGGATCTCTGTTTGGGGTTTGTACAGTATACACAATATCTCAGAAAAAAATATTACAGTAAGGTATTTTATTTCTCCTTTTTTATATTAGACTTATCTATTGTAACTTACAGTCCCTCTCCTCTATATATCCAAACCTTTATAACACCCTAATGCCCTAGCCAAAAAGTGTTTAGCTATCTAACAAGCCCTGTCTATTATAAATTCCAGTTTTAGAAATTTCAGTAATCTTAATTACATTTTAATAAATAGTTCAGTTTGCCCTTTTTTAATCTTAGTCTTTTGAGGAAGTCCTTTCAGTACCAAAACACAGTATGTCACAACCTGTTAGAGGTCAGAGAGGCTTTTGCTTGTTTATTCAAAGGATAATGAGTCCAAAGATAATTGCAATGCATTAAATATAGTTATATAATATTTACACTGTCCTCTCAGATTTTAAATTTAGGTGAAATAAAATTGATAACTAATGTCAGCTACTACAAACTTTCAGTGTGGCTGGTGCTTTATTAATAAAAGGTGTATTAAGCTAGAAAGTATACTAAGTGGTTGCCCTGATTCTTTTTGTTTCAATTTTCTATTAGAAATTAAATGAAGTGAATTATTCACGTGAGTAAGAATTCAGGATGAGGGGTGGTGGAAAAAGCATGAAGAATTTTCTGCATGTTTTGAGATTCCAAAATACCTGAAAACAACTGTGGTCCCTTTTGCAGTGCTAGTATCTACAGGGGAGAAAAATGCAACCAAAAGAAAAGAGGAAAATCTGTTAAATTAATTTGATTAGTAAAGGTGTGTTTTAAAATGCCTCAATTCTGTACAGTATTATACAAGGAAAGTCTCTTCTTCAGCTTTTGCAGCTGTTGTACATTCTTATACACTCTTCTTCTGCTAACAGTCTGCCCATACATGTGCTGTTTGAGTTACTTGCGATCATCAATAGTTTTAATGAATTCAACCGCTGCTGTGAACTGCATCCACCAGTATGATTCTTCTCCGGATAAACAGTTGGCATAGAAACTACTAATGTACTGAACAGTGGACAGCAAGCAAGGTGGATTTGCCTGAGGGTTAAAGAAGAAAGAGATACTCACAGCTTGTTTGCAAAGCTAAACATAAAACATTACAAGATACTGAATAGAAATATAGTTCTATTTGTGCAGCGATCCTCATGCATTCATAATACCTGATAATGTAACGCATCTGTAGGGGAGTGACTGTTTATCCAGCCCACTCATTTCACACACTCACAAGGCATCAGACTTGACGAAAGGAGCATTTTTCCAACAAGGAAAAACAACTAGCAGGCCAAGAGAAAGAAGGGTAATGCTGGCAGAATCTATAAAAGTCATCAAGGATTTCAACATGTGGAAAAGCCTGTTGTTTTAGCATCTTATACACAACAGACCGTTCTCCAAACACTCGTGTCAAAAAAGGTCAGCAACACAATGCAAGTCAGTCCTAATGTGGATCTTGGTTCTGAAAGAGGTCAGCATTAAGCAGGCACAGATGACAGATGCTGGCGAGCGTACATCAGAAAAAAAACCCACTCCACACACAACGTCTGCACCCCAGTTTCCTTGGTTTCAAGTGCAAAGTTTGCTTGGATTCAAAAACTGTAACTGTGACCACAATTCTGATGTCTCTATTTAAACCTGCTGAATTAGATCTGGTTTTGAGTCGAGCATGCTCCCAGTTACCCAAATGCATTATTTTTCTTCCTAAACTTTGCTTGTTTATTACACAAATTAGCCGGGGTTTGTGATCTCTGCAAAAGAACTCACCTTTATGAGGACAAAGACCAGAACAGGAACAAAATCATCTGCCCCAGGTACTGAATCTTCATTTGCCAGACTAAGCAGGTTCATGATGGTTGAACACATTCGCAGGATACACTGCACTTTGTCTCGGGGGGTTTTATAAGCGCTTATTGTGCGGATTTCAGACTGTGCAGATGGCCACGGTGCCTCCCGGAGATATACCTAGGAAAAAATCCCAACATGCTGCCAGTTCTTGTTTGTCCAAGCTACTACGGTGTAGCACAGAGAATCTGAAGCACCAGAGTCTTGCAAGCAGAAGCAAGGCTCCGGAGAAACTGGAGTTTAAGTCAGGATGGTTACATCACACTCACAATGGAGGTGGTTTCCTGCTGTGTTATAATAAAAAACTGCAAGGAGCCAGCACTCAATGTGCAACTAACATAATTAGTCTGAGCTTCTTCCTGACTTCTCCAGTACACTGTTTCAAATGAAGGTAGAGCTGTATGTCTCAGTCTTCCACATCAGCAGCTTTATGAACACTCACCATTTTGAGTCATACTGTTCAAGTACTGAATTGTGAGCTAGGAAGGCTGCAAACATCCAGCCTCTGACAGACAACTTAAGCCTACCAACCTGCTTTTAGTTATCCTATTAACCATGAGAAAAGTGAAAGCACTGGGCAAATTCACAGATCTGCAAGGTTCCATTAATTCTGGCTAGTTCAGAAAGTTAACTTGACAGCTGTAAACCACAGCTATGGCAGATGGATCACATTAGAAGCAGAAAGGATTCTAATCTTGTCTTTTGAAAGAAATTATCAGAAAGTTACTGCATCTTAGTGCCGTGTAGTATTAGTTCTTAAATCTTCCTATCAGGACAGCGGTGGCAAAAATCAGAAAAAAATGGATTTGGAAGGATCAGTCAGTGGAAGACACCAAAACATGGGTACAGCATGTTTTTCCTGCAGGACATATCAGCTGTCACAGATAGAAAAGCAGTGCTTCTAAGTGTAAAACACAACAGCCCTCTCCCCATCCCAAGAACAATCAAACCCAGGCACCCCAACACACATAGGGAAGCGAAGGAAAGGAGAAGTTGTTACCTCGGGTATCTGAAGTGCTTTGTGGTTTGCCGTCACTACTTTAGATAACCTCTGTATGTGCTCATGAAGGACCCTGAAAACAAACGCAAAAAACAAGACTGAAAAGTAGGCAGCAGCCATTAGTCCCTTGGGGTTTCCTGCTAGTTTTAGGTTTGATACTACAAGAGAGCTCTTCAGGAATGCATATAATCCTGATGGTCCTGCAGTTGATGGACAGGAGGTCAATAAGAGATGCAGAGGCTTCTGCTATACGATTATGTACAATCACACAGCCAGGAGAGCATTCAAACAGCATGATCTAAATCACAAAAAAACAAAAACCCGAAATGCATGAAAAATACTGTACCAAAGCAGAAAATGGAAGGAGTCCTGAGGCAGATTTTGATCATTCTCTCAGCATACACACTTGCAGATCTGAAAGTCTGTATCCCAAGTCATTACATTTACAATTGTTCTGTTCTGGCAGTTTGTTACAAACAAACACTTTTTTGCATGATGTTAAAGCACTTCCTTTTCTTTTACAGAACGTTCTGAAAGAAAACATGAGTTTGTATGGTATGGCTAACTTAGTCAAGTCTGTCACTTGAAGACTGCACAGCTCCCATCTGCACCAACTGCAAAAGAGAAACCAAGTACTTCAAATTACATTAACTTACTGGTCACGCAAAATATCTCCATCCTGATTAGGGTAGAATGCAAGTTTGAAAATACGATTCATCACACTGCGTTCTATAGCTAATTGTGCATCCTGAAGCTGTTCTTCACTGGCGTTCTGCCATATGGCATCCTGAGCCATAGCCCCGTATAAGAACTGAAGAAAATCCTCAACTTGGGCTGTTTTATCATCTGCTGCTGTGAGTTTCTGGAAATCTGATAAAAAGTAAAGAGAGAACATTCAGTTAAGTAAAAAACATTACTTCTGATAGATACGGAACACATTTGGCGAAGCGTATGGTCAAAATACTCTACTTGATAATGTGTTATTCACTTCCTCTGCAGAACCAGTCCTTATGCCTTCTTTCCAGCCACCCCCAGAGATAACACCCAGGAAAATCACTACAACAGTTGCTGTTAAGAACCAGCACAGGCAAAGCTGTTGGAGGCTGAAAGGGGCGGGGGGGGGGGGGGGGCAGCAGGGGAAGGTATCCAGAAAACCCGTGTGTAGCATTTCCTACCCCTACCTTTATTAAGTATGCATAGTTGCAACATTCATATTTATCTACAAAATATAGAATGAGTGATGCAGGCAAGCTAATGCAGCCTGACCAAATCACTGGCGCCGTATTTATAGCACCCTGCACCAGAAGACAACTGCCACTCACATCTGCCAGCAGCCTAAACGCCACCGTTGCCAATGTCTCTTTTAGATCATCCAGAAATAGCTCTCCTTTCTGTCCAATGAAAGGGCTTTAACTCCTTCCTGGGTCACTGAATCTCATTACCAGAACTTTCATCCCAATATATATCAGTTCTCATATTAATTCCAGCCTATTCTGGCACATCTAATATGCAGCAGTATATGCTCCAGGAGCAAGGACTGACTCAAAATTTCTTACGTACTTCATTAAGTCCATATGTGCATAGAGAGCATAGAATAGTTTGGTTTAAGTGACTCTGTCTTGAGATAGTTGTTTTTCTGGTGCCTCTATCCCTTGTGCTATGATAGTTTTGAATCTTTGATTGATTTGATTCATACTGCTACTATTCCCCATATTTTCAAAGGTACAACCACAGGTTCTGTGCTGAGGACCGAAAGCTCCAACTTAGTTTATCATTTATCAGTAGAATTAAAATAATTAATAGTATTCATGCTTATTCCACAGATTGGATGCTAGATAATATGATTTAGCATAACTTTTTAGGCCAAGTGAGGTCATATTGCCTTCATTCTCTTAGGCCACGAAAAAAGCACAGTCATCGTGATTTAGCTGCCACAACATACTGTTAAGTCACAGTAATCTGTCTATTTGAGCCATTAATTCACCAACTGAAATTAAAATTGTTTTAGGAATCTGCTCCTCAGATCAGAAGTTGTATTTTAAAACATTAACCTGAGCCACCATCTAAATAGGGAGCAAAGGGATATAAACATTCCACAGTCTGCATTAATCTTACCTTGAATAAACTCCCTTATTTTCTTCTCTTTGCTCTCTAGCAGTAACCTCACACATACTGTAGTGAAGTACCTGTTGGCCACTTCTTTATCTCGCAGAACTCTTTGCAACAGCCTTTCCAAGTGTGCTTGTGTCGTTTGCAGGCCCTGGCGACATCGAGTTAAATAAGCAATATATGGAGCTCTTTTCCTAAAATAAAGAGCGCTTTACGTTAGATTCATAATAAAGATAGAGGCTAATAGCTTTACAAACTAGTTAGGTTGTAGTGCAAAAGGAATATTCAACCTGTTTTTTTAAAACAAAGATAATGCCTGAATTAGGAAGTTCTGTCCTATACAGACTTCTCTGACTGAATTCACTGCCCTTGCAGCACTCCAGAATGCTAGACTAAACCAAATACCAAACAGCATCTCTTTTGTGTTAGAGCTGAACATTAGCCAGAAATTGATTTAACCTGAGTTTATTACTACCTGGAATGACTTAAGGTCCAAACTTTTTTCAGTCATTTGCAGATAGGTGAGACAATTTCATCATTTTGTGGAGAAGCAGAGATGTAATAACCTGATTTGGTAAAGTACAATGTAAACCAAAAGGGATCTTCTCAGTCTGCTAGTGAATAAATACATGTATTTGGAAACCCATTAATAATAAGATACTGAACAAGCTACCTATAGTCCTCTGCAATAGATGCCAGCAGCTTTCGACAGGTCCTGTTATCAAAGCGGCTTACACATCGCATTGTTTCTTGCAGCTGAGCCATCAAGTTCTTATCTTGGAGGTTAATAGCTTCAGCTAGCTGAACTTTCAAGAAGCACACAATTTCATTATCTAATAAAGAACAATGGAAAATTATTAAAGAAAAGACATGTAAGTGTGATGAAAATAAAACTGGTTTTGAATATGGGGAACACGTAACAGTTTAAAACAAAACTTCTGTACGTTAGACAATAAATGTGATTTTAAGAAAAATTTAGTAAGTCTTTTTGAATTTTCCAGATATCAAGGAGTAAGTTTTCGCATCACTATCTTATTTAGTATTTAGAACCATTCTGAAATGTGAAGAGGAGCAGATAAGGTGACAAATTCAGCTGCCTGCAAATAAACCTAGAATGAATGGAGGGAGGCAAAGACAAGACACATAAACTAAGTCAACGTAAAGACTTGGTAAATCATTAAAGTTACTCTGTTAGCACTGTAGCACAATTCCCAACGGTACATGTATCTCGGGAGTCTATTTTACAGGTTCAGGCTCTACCTGCACTGTACCTGAGATACTTCATTACAAAAAAATTAGACCAGATTTAGTTGGCAGGTTGGTTTGTGGAGTAAGAAAGAAAACATTTTTTGGGGAAAAAGGTGGCCTATGCCTTCTGTATCTATGTCAGACAGAAGTTACCATAAATGGTGCAGTATAAGTGCCATTAGATGGGGGAAAGGAAGAAACACATACAATACAAAACATCTCTGTGTATAAAGACCATTTACCTTCAGGGTCTGTGTGGTCTGGCAGACCGTTCCTTGTTGAATGCGTCAACATTGGGAAGGCAACAGAATCTGCTGAACAAAGAGCCAATCTCAATTTCTTCTTTGCATCCCTTAAAGAGGAAAAATATTTTCTTAACAAAGTTGTTGCAAGCTCTGCTTCTTCAGTAAACAATCTTTACTTTCCTGATTTTTTTAAATACTGCCTAAAAGTTATTTAACATAATTTTAATATACCAGTGCTGTCAAGGCTTTAGAATATCAGCTCGTTCGATATAACACCTAGACCAGTTTCACAGGAATTTTCCTAAACACTGAACTGCTCTGTCCTCTCAGGTTACAATACTGCCCCTTTACCAGTGGAAATGTGACAGTTTGAGACGCTTAAAACTAAAAGCATGTAAAAGTTTACAGTTGATCCATATTAAGATTTTTGTAGGAACCACTCACATAGCTTCAGCTTTTAATTCTACTTTGTGGATAAGATTAAACCTGGAAACGTATTTACCTGTAGGAGAAAGCAGAACTTTGTGGCTGTGCTACTTGACTTGCAGAGTCTGGGAGATCATCTGCAGACATGTTTTGCAGAGCCTCATCACGTGGAGAGTCATGCATACTCTCACCATCCCCAATAGCCTCTATGGAAATGAAAAAAAAAAGAAATTACACTTGAAGAGAGGAGTCAGAAGAAGAAACTAGACTAATTTTCTCTATCTTCTTGTTATTCTAAGGTCGGGAGCAGGGGAATGCAGACAGCAAATAAAAAAACTTGTTCTGAAGTAAAGTATATTAAAAATATACAATCTACAATTCGCTAAGATGAAATTGCACCAGTTTTAGAAAGCAATACATTTATTCAGTATCCATTAAAAAAAACCAAACCAAAACGGTAAGAGATGTGCTATTAACAACCAACCACTTCAGTTGCAATGAGAAGGAATATTGGGAATATTAATTTAATTCCCAATCACTGAAGGACTGTCCCACAGATTATCTGACAAAATGTTCCTGGTTTAGCGCTCACATTGTAGAGCTGTTAGTACTAACATTGGTCTAGAATACTGAAGTATTTTTATCTTTAAGGAGGAGAAACTATGTTGGTGATGATTATAAAAGCCAGGTTCTCACCTGCACTGTCATAGTTTACTATGGCTCCTTCGCTAGGACTGGTTCGCTTAATTGCATTCCTGTATTTGTCCAGAATGTCCTCTGCAGCTTGTGCCTGCGCACTGAGCCTTGGGCTGGGATCATCTGAAAAGACCATTAAAAGCAACAGGAGATAATCTTGTACTGTGCCAACTGAAAGCAAATACAAAAATTTAGACCTCCGCATTTGGACTCTGTTTTTAGCCACATCAAACAAATAGCTGCTTGTGTTCCATGTAGCCACAATTCAAATACATTTATAAAATCTGAAGCAAAAGCAGAAAAAAAGCAGTACAATGAAAGTGAACAAATAAAGCCAGATGCTTAGCATATTTATACTGTATACACAAATGGCTCTTGTATATTTGAAGACTTCTAGAAATGATTAAGCAAACAGAAAACTAAACATGCAGGTTGAAATCGTGTTTAATTTAGCACTTAAGTAATTATTACAGGAATGTGTCTGCAGCTATCCTTACAGCTCAGCTATGCTAAGGACATGAGCTTTATAGTAAGAAAATGAAAAAAGTGAAGACTGAAGTCGAGAATTCAGTACCATACCTACTGACAGAAGCATGACAATTTAAAAACAGTCTTCAAGTCAAGAAGTCTTTATCCACTTTCTTATTCAGAAAGCCAGCCGTGAACACTAACTACAACAGCGTACACCCCCCTGTAAATAGACACCTGGTGGGCACTCTGCAACTCCAGGGGCACGTTATGAGAGAAAATTACTATGATGGTATTATTCACATACCTTGAAGTGTTGAGTATCTGTCAGGCACCATGTCATCTTTGTCTTTTTCTTGTTTTTCTTTCTTTCTAAATGGAATAGGAGCTGGAAACGAAAGGTACCTTATCAAAGACTATTCTGGGATAATGGCCAGATTGAGGAAACTTTAAGAAAGTGGCTAATGCAGCAGTTTGTCATCAAATAAACGTCAGGAAAAGCACAAACCTATCTTTGTGGTGGAGCAGAACTGTACTGTCATCACAGGTAGTGAGCTCTACCTTTAACAGACACGCTACCACGAGCCAGGCAGAACAGTTTTGCCTTCCAGGTACAGTACGCCCTAGGCAACTACTAGCCAAGGGAGTCAGGTAGCTTCCCATTTTTATTTACGTATTTATTTATACTTCAGTTTAGCCAGCAGTCCTAACTCAACTACTGGTCCTAACGACATGAATCTTTCCTGACAACTAGTTCCTCCTAGTAAGTTGAAGGAGATGTAAGGACAGCACGTTGTGGAATGAAAAAGCAAACAAAGTGGTATTAAAATACTGTAACATTATCTAAAGTCACATAGAGACTGCAATGATTACGTTGGTTCTTTTCTAACTGAAAGTCTGTTTGAAAAAAAAGGCAAGAATACTTAATATTGCACACATTGTTCCATCCCCAGTTGTCATTATTCACAGCATGAAAGCCAAACATTATCTTGAACAAGCTTTACTTTGTAAATAGCCAAAGTCTAATTTCCACTCATGCCGTGTTGCAAGAGATATCCTAAATTATCAACATCCTTCAACTAGCACGCTACCATCCATAGAGAATTAAGACTAGTCCTCAGTGAAGCTGCAATGAAGTTAATACCATACAACTATGAAATGACTGGCCTCACATAAGGATTCCAAGGTTACCGAATGATTAAGATAACACAATGCCTAACCAAATTCCTTTCAGCTTACACACCTCTTCATAGGTACTGCACACTTTGTATTCCAATAATTCTCTCTTTACTGCAACACTTGCAAATTTGTAAATAAGAACCCTTTATTTCTCCAAATTAAACAGGACATCTATTACTCTCTAGCAAATCTACATCAGTCTGGTCAGCCTTTCAAAGTGACACTGTACAAGCTTTCCATAAAAGTGACTATAGATCTAACACAGGCAGCATGCACCCCTACTAAAGAACCTAAACCAGACAGACATGATCCCACCTTTGGGCATGGCAGACACAAAACGTTTCTTCCACCAGGGCTTGTTTCTGTCTGACTTCTCATCATCACTGTCTTTTCGTTCTTCAATCTGTAGAAGGGCAGAGTCTACATTTGAGCATTTACTGTATCAAGTGTAAAGACAAAATTTCTCCTCAACATCAGGTTGTGCCACATCGGCTGTAAAAACAGAACTAGAGCAGAGCACAGAAAACAGAACTAGAGCAGATTAAGTTAGAAATATCCCTCCTGAAGAGGGCAGCCTATAAATGTAAAAGCAAAGACATGAAGAAACTTAGATTTCACTTTTTTTTTTTTTTTTTTCAAAAAATACCTTTTCAGGATGCTGCAGCATTTGAAATGTAAACACTACAACACTCCTATTTCTGAAGTCCCACCAATCAAGTAAAGCTCATCAAGTAAATTTAAGAGAAGCCAGATTCATTTAAGCCACTCCGAACATCTGTAGCTTTAGCTTATAGAACATTATTGGCCAACACTTAAAAGGTAACAAAAGTCCATTGTAATTCCTTGGCTAAACACATTTAATTCCAGCCTTCTGGCATTAGATGCATAATTAAAGTGTGCATGCTAGGGGGGGGAAAAAAAATAAAGATAGAAGCCTTACCTCTCCTCTAGAAGAGTCTTTACTGGGAGAGGAAGATGATGACTGAGACGCAGCCACCAGCACAGCTGCTCCGGTGCTGGTGGTCGGCATGGGAAGCTCCCTCTCCTCAGCACCAGGACGCCTGTTCCACCCGGGATCACTCATGGGTCTCCGAACTGACGACACTATGTCTGAACTCCTACTGCGGACTAGCCGCTCCGGGTAAGAATGCCTCTGCTTGAATGCTTCTAAATCAGTTGGAATTAAAGTGTGAGACCCAAAGTTTGGTAATCGGGCCTCATTACCTCCCATGGCTCCTTCCAAGATGGGTGGATCCGGTGGTGGATGAGAGGGTCTTGCATAGTGTACTTTAGGCCTTACTACAGCTGATACACCTGTGGTCATAAGCATAGAAGAAGCCACACACATTTCTTTTAAGATTCTTCCAAATTAGCCGGTACTAACATAGAAGCATTGAAAATGCCTATTTTTTAAAAAGCTTGTTCTTTACAACTCACCCTCATTTGATGACAGAGGGTCAAACAATGCAAGTAAAGAATCTGTCTGAGAAGGAGGAGATGTCAACTGACTGGCTCCTGAAATACAGAAAAAAAAAATAGAAATAGGAGTTAGTGCTGTACCAAGAACTACCCACATAAGGGACACTGGAAAAACAGCCTCCAGCAAGAGAAGTTTACAAAACTTATATTGCAAAATATTTTAAAATATATTCTTATATGGAAAGACCTCTGTAATACACTGAAATGATCGAAGAATCACATCATAAAAAGTGGGGAAATCTTGAGGAGCAGACCAATTCCAAAATGCAAGAGGACAGTCAATGTAATCCCAATTAGGAAAAGGTGATCTTAGACCTAGTACTCAGGCTCTAGTACTACAAAGTACTGAAGTCTCTGTCAAACAAATACAGTGCTAGCAAATAAAGAAAATGTTAAGCTTAGCCACCAGAACTTTGAAATTGGGAGAAATTGTAAAATTTAAGATTCTACAAATGTCATTTGTGAGACTTCAGTTATCAGAGAATCTAATTCTCCCTTACAGGTAAGTAACTTACTTACCATGGGCTGTTTCATCCATGTCAGGACTTGTCACAGAATCTTTTCCCCCAAAGTCAGAGCTACATTCAGACCTGAGATCCTCAATCTTATTAGGAATATCTTCAGATGTTGCACTAATACCTTACACATAACAAAAGAAGCATCTGTAATAGTCTTTCAGAGAAAAAGGAAGCAAAATCCTGAAGCTGTTAAAACGTTCGATGAACACTGTAATAATCAAGTCCTAATTCACAGTAGTACCTAGAGACATGAATTTCTATAGTCCTAAAATAACATTTTATTTCTGCTCTACATCTTCAATTGTTTTAACATAGCCATAAATACACTTTGACAACAGGCATTAGAAAGACACTTCACTCTCTTAAATACTTTGCAGAAAACAAAGAACAGAAGTAGATATATGCTGATTTACTTAAATAAAAATGTTGTGATAATGAAACTAAACGCAAGAAAGTTAGGAGTATCTTCCAAATCAGTACTCAACTGCTAACCACTGCTATTGTAGCACAGAGCATTCAACACTGCTGCCTTTTTTATTTCTTCCTTAAGATGAAGAATTACTGCTTTGAAAATTCCAGAACGAGTACAAAAAGTTATTTTATGAGTGAAATGATGTATAACCAAAGCAAGAGCAGCGAAGTGGGTGCTGATCACATTCTAATAGAGCAGCATGTTTTCAGAGACAATTAAACACACCTGATACAACGCTGAGGCCTGGTGTGCTGGGTCGAGAACTGACCTCCCTTACATCAGTGTCATCAGATGTGCTACCCAGCCCAGAACAGCTTTCCAGTTCTTGTAGTCTTTCCTCCTGTTTTAAGTCTGGGGCCTCTGCAAAAGGGACACAGTGGAGAGTAGAGAAAAAAACCTATCGTTACTCAAGGGCATGCTCCTTTAATATTCACATACAGAGGGAAGGGGGGTAGGTGTTGATTTAGTATATGAAGCTGTAAGCTAATTCAACCACTTCAGTAAGACTTTTCTCCCTATACACAGGGCAGGAGTCTGCACAGAGAGCAATGCTCCATCTGCAACGGCATCCTGACTAGGTAGCCCTACTTAACATCCCAGGGAATGAAAGCAAGCAGAAGTTTGCTTTGCAATCCTTTCTCTCCCTTTTTGGCCCTTAAGAATTTCTTAAGTAACAGTAAGTCTCTCACAATGCTTTCCATCTTCTCTCTGCCTAGGAAGAGTTTGTCCTTTTAATACTGGAAGTATTAACAAAACTTAACCCTAGGACAGTAATTCTCAAAGAAAGAGAAGAAGAGGCTGCTGTTTTGCATTATATGCCTCTAGAAGAGGCTTGATTCGTGCTCAAGAAATAAGCAAAACCTGCATGATTCTGACCTGAATCACTTGGTAATACTTCCACACTCCACGCCTCACTTGTGGTTTCTGATATGGTTGAACCTGTGCAGGGATCAAGCAACACGGATCCTGAACCTGGTAAACACAGCAAGCTGCCTAGCATGTTCTCTGCAGCCGCACCTGCAAAAGTAAAGCCGAAGCGTATAGCTAGATACAGGCTTCCTGAAGACAGCTCTAATAAGAGAGAAAAATAAGAACACATTTTAAGTGTCCTTAATAATCAAAAAAGACATTGTTGAAAAGATAGAAAAGAGCAACCAAATATAATACAGGTCATGCACATAATATCCTCCTCCAGAAAAGCTCCAGTTTAATCAGTGAAAACCCCACTTGTTTAGAAAGAGACGAAGAGGGCTCTGCAGCCTCACTATTTCAGAGCAAGCATGAAGCATTTTGACATTCCAGATGTTCCTCCAAGTTACCTGCTATTTCTTGCAAACGATCTTCATCAATATTTGGATCGAAGTCACTTCCCAAGACATCTGTACTCCAAGTTTCGCTCACAGTTTCTGATATATCTCTGTCATCAGTCAACCCCATCATATCACGAATTTCAAATTTACGGAGCTTGTCATCAAGATTATCCTGAGTTGTGGCTATGTGAAAATAAAAAGTTCTCAATTTTTTGAAGGGCTCGTCCAATTACTTCTGATTGAAAAATGTGTAGAAGTACATTATATGAAAAAAAAACAAACAAACAAACAAAAACAAACAAATGAAACAACCCTCTAATTCTGTCAGGTAAGATAGTGTTTTAAAGTAAGGCCTGAAAAGCACTATTATACTATTCAAGAGATGCTGACTGAAAACAGTTTTTAAGCACATTTAAGACATAACAAAAAAAATCTTAAACCGGACATGGTGACCTGTCAACCAAACTGACAGACAAAATGAAGACAATTTAGCATGCTATCAAGAAACTGATACAATTTCTGTAAGAACTTATCACAGAAAAGCTGAGGCCTCCAGAGATTATTCAAGTCCAGAGCCCCCGCTCAAAACAGGGTCAATTACAGCAGGTTGCTCATGGTCACGTCCAGTCACATTTTGAGTATCTCCAAGGCTGGAGACACCACAACCTCTTTGAACAACCTGTTCCAGCACTTGACAAATATATATTAAAGAGGAAGCTATCCAGATGCTTTAAGACTACTCCAATCCAGATCACCCTGTTCTCTGAAGGGAAAAACCTGGTATCAAGCAAAACTTTACAAGCAGTTTCCTATAAAGGACTTGAGCCTCAAAATCCTATTTCTTTTTCCTAACAATGGACTACAAGAAATATTTCTAGAAAAAAACCCAAACCAACCACAAAACAAATCCATCAATAAATGCAAAAGTGATTGCACAAGGAAAACTTCTACTTATTTTTTCCTGAACTAGTCAATTTTCCAATCTTTTTCCACAGAACTTCGACTTTACCATCTACAGCACCTCAGGCACTTGCATGAGAATTGGCACCTGCCTTGTTCGTGCTCTAACAGCTGCAGAGCTTCAACACCATTGCTCCCAGAGGGGCCCGCACCAAGCTCTGACACAGACTCCCCTTCTAAATCCAAAGATGACACAGAATTGGAGCGATTTGAAGGACCTGTGAAAACAGAATTTACTGTAAATCTGATTTGAATAACAGTTCCTGAATATACAGCATTAACAATCCAGAACACAATTAACTAGTAAGATTAAAGAAATGAAGCAGCAGTTCCAATATAAAAATACTAAATTGATGAACTAAATGTACATTTACTCTACTCTTGATCCCTTTTCTATAGATAATTAACTCAGACTGTGATTTGTACTTCCCACGTTTAGAGTACCATACTAATTATAATAATCTACAAATACTTTACCAGAAATGGCTGGAATCTCACCATTACCACACTTAACTGGAACTAAAAAGTCAATAAAGTCTTTGCCACTGATTTGTTTACTTGTCCATGAATTTGTGTCCTTATTTTGAGGAGAGAGAACGAGTGCAGAAACTAAATTATGGAAGTTATATAAAATAATGCATGGTGAGTGATCTGTATCAACCTCTTCAATACCACAAATAAACCTGTGCTTTGTTGCAGCTGAGGTTCATAAAGCAGTTGTCCAGAGTCCAGAAACTATTTTGAGATATGTAATAGCTTATTAAAACATGATGAAAAACAAGTCTGAGAAGCCTACATTTAGAGCTAAGTTAGATTATCTCAATAATTAATACTACTTTTAGTATTTTTAGTAATTTTAGAAATTAAGTTTCAAAACAAAAAATAAATCCCTCTGTTTTCTCTTTCTACATACACTTAGGTTTTTTATTCCTAATTCTCAGACTCAGTTATGCCTTTGCAAGTCAAAATTTAGCTCCAGATGTTTTCCTTTGAATGCTCTCAGGGTAAAATAGCACAGTCTTCAAAATGGCAAAGATGACATGCTGTATTTAACAGAAGTTCCTTTTATAGTTAAGAAAAAAAAAGGGACGAAACAATGGACGAAACTTCTTCAAGACTTAAGTAGCCCTTCACCTTCAGATATTCCTTCCAGATTATCACTGCAGAGGGAAAAGCGCAAGGTTTTATCAGGTTTACCATGGAGTTTGTTTTCATCAACGGGGACATCTCCTTGTCCGCCATCTGTAAGCTGCATATTTAAGACCTGGAGAGTGAGGGAAAGAAACAAGACTTCCTTAAAATAATGTAGTTTTTGGATAATTAAACAGTAAACAAAACATTGCACACTTTCTTTTGCATATTTTTCCCTAGATACTAATGGCACAATCAAATTTCTAACATTCCATTTGAAAAAAGACAGCTATCTCCAAAGTCAGAGCCTGGAGAGAATGTAAGGTAACCAAGATGTGAACGTAAGGCAAGTCCTGCTAATAGTGAAGCCACCAGGTCCCTCATTACCCCAGCAGACTGATAAAACATGGAAACGCATCATTATGAGGCTGCAAAAGGAGACAATCCAAGCTATCAGGTCAGGCCACAAAGATGAAAGCAGAAGCTGTGCTACAGCTGGTGAAAGAAAAGGCTGTAAACAGCCTTACCCCAAGCAGCATAGTCTGAAGGCATTCAGAGCAACGTGACCACAGCTCCACCCTCACAAGAAGCTGGGCCTGTGTGTTTCAAGTCTGAGCTGCCAAAAACCTCGGGATGAGTGTTCCAATTCCGTCATTCACCCGTGCCACTCGATGCAAAGGACAGCATGCAGGGACAACAACTGAATCAGTTTCTTCAGGCTCTGACCCAATAGCCCAAGTTTGTTCTTAAGCATGCTGGAGGACAAAGACTCTTAATAAATCTGCCAGGTTCATCTCTCCTGTGTTAATATACTGCTTTTCACACCTTGCGGATACACTAAGTGAGGGGGGAAAAAACATCCAACAAAGGGAAATTTGAAAGCTATAATCCCCAAGTTCAGTAAAATGAAGTAAGGATTTTAATTCCCATTCTGGACTTACTACCCAAATTTAGAATCACAACTTCATTGTTCTGCTATTAGAGAACACAGAGATTGTACTTTTCAAAATATCCGAGACGCGACAGTTTTCACATACCTCATTTTCTGACATCATTCCTGGAGTAATCTGTGGACCTGTCCCCAAAGAAATCACCAGCACTTCTTCTGGCTGAACTTCTGGGATAGTCTCCTGGGAAGATCCTTCATGATCGCCATGCTGATCCATTAGAATATTTGATCTACTTCTGCTACGAGTTGCTGAGAAAATATTTTGAAATATCAACATTAGAAAGCTTTTCCTTGTTTAAGGAGGAAAAAAGGACAATACAATGGAAATACAGAATGGAAATGATTTGAATTAACAATATGCATACTAAATAAACTTACAAATGAAAAGTCATATGAGACTGAGAGATGGAACTAGTGTTTAAATTTAAATACTGAACTGTGAAAAAGCAAACTTTCAACATAAAAGTTTAGAGAAACAAGGTATACTACGTCCTGTTTGCCTATACAAATTCAGTGTATTCCAATCACAGAAAGACCCTTAATAAATTAATTGAGTAAATAAAGAAGTTTGTTACCGACACAAAAAGGTCTAGGTTCCTGTGGTTTATAACTCTGTTTAACTAATTTATTTAGAAGTTTTTTCTCCTAAAAAGCAGGGAAATGTTATTCTAACAAGTGCCTCAAACACAGACACACAATGCAACATTAGGTGGTTTACTTTGATTATTTTGTGCCTCTTTCCTAGGCTTTTCAAGTAGCCTCATATTCCCATGTTTGGCACTGTGTAAGGACAAACACCTTCATGGAATTAAGATTTTTAAGTATGGCAGCATGACACCAGTTATTTCTCTATTTGATCAGGTGAAAACAAGGCAAGCTTGTGGAAGTCACAGTCAAATTCTGATTATCACACAAAGGTACGCATGTTTTTAAAAACTACATGTACATACAAAATGAGTTTCATACAGAAATCAATGAAGAAATCTGAAAAAGCAACTGATTGCCGTAGTAAATCAAAGGCATGCTTAAGTCATGTGTTATAACCAAAAGTTTCAGAGAGAAGAATGGAAAGAGGGCATTACCCACCAAAAGGGGTTACTAGAGTTATATGAGCTGAAAGATTGGTAGCAGAAGTATCCCAGGCAGTAATGGCTGCCAATTGCTGTCCTGGATTTCGAAAGCATTAAAATGAAACAAAAGAAAACTTTGAGCAATAACTATTTTATACCATAAAATAAATGCTGTTGTGCCACTACTTTATAGGCACAAGACCAGAACCGTTCAGAAGCAGAGTTAAAACAACATGGCACAGGTTTGTTTTGGAGGTTGGTTTTATGAGGTTTTTTGCCACTTACCAGGCTCTACATATTTACATCCTGTAACATAATAACACCAAATCTCTCAAAGAAACAAAAATACCCCATGTGGCATGTAAACATACACTGAAGAACAACACATTTCCTATTTTAAGAGAAAGTATTACTGAAATGGAAAAGTTCAAGACCCAGAAATCCTATTCAAAAAAGAGGACAGAAATCTAACAAACATAAAATTGCATTATAATATACTAACAATTGGAATTAGATGGGGCAAATAATGGAGAAAGGAGAAAGCTTCTCCTCTCAGCACACACTCTAAAAGTTCTGCTCTTCCTTTTTCATCTTCCTCCACATTTGCTCTCTTCTGAGACACAGAAGTTTTAAACTTATTCTACCCCACCAATTAAATGTAATCACTTCCATCTTACCACTTTCCTAAAAAAATCTTCCCTCCTAGATCTGCTTCCCTTCCCTTTACTAACACTGCACTCACTAGCATGACTACCAGCCACCCCAGCATTTTTGTCAAGTTCAATTCATAACGATGAAGCTCACCATACTTGCATCAGAAAGTAAGGAAGTTACCTGGATTTCTACGCAAAAGAAAATTCTTCAGCAGCTACACAGAAAAAATAGGAACTGAAGGTATAGTCAAACAGTAGCCCCGAGAGATGGCTGAAAAAATGGCACAGAAAATGTATCAAGGTATCAGGAATGATGTGAGAAGCGTGTTTGCTCTCCTTACCTATTGGCAATCGATTTTTTTTGTTAGCTGGAGTAGTCGCAGGAGAAAGTTGTGGGGTATTATATGGAGTCATTTCGAGGCTGCTGCTTTTCCCTGGTTTGTTCTGGGGTAAGTTTGCCAGCAAGTTTTCTAAAGCCATCCGATCTTCCTTAAGTTGATCACTTGACATTACATTCCGCATAAAGCCAACCTAAAAATTGACAATTAGTGTTGGTAAGAACTGCAACATAAATTATCAACCTTGTTCATCCTGTCTATAAACCTATGGGGACAAGTTTATACTACTTCTTTTTAAGAATGTAAGATATTACCAGAGTAGTTAGCTGGCTGTATGTCATGTAAACCACTGTTCTGCTCAACCCCTCCAGAAGGTTGACAGAAGACATTGGAGGAGTTTCAACTGCACGCCCATCAATAACTACATCCAGGAAAGCAGCAACACAGCTCTGCAATGGGAAGAAATAGTTTAACCGAGAGACCATTTACTAGAGTTTGGAAAGAACATAAGTTACAATAAGAGATAAATAGTTTACACAGCAATGTAAGTTTTCCTTCCTACTTTCAAAATCTTAGTATAAAATGCCACATATCACTAAAATCACTGAAGAGCAAGCAAGGAAAGCATGCAGTTAGTTTCAACATTTCCTTCATTCCTTTTTCCGCATTCAAAGGGGTTATTTACTTAAGTGTCTTCTTACAATTTTTTAAAAAAATTAAACTGTTTTATGGCAATTAAACTGCCCCTTCCTGAAGAATCTGCCGAGCACAGACTAAAAGCGAAACAAGGAAGCAACACACAATATCACTCTCTAATCTGATTGAATGTTACTTGTATAATAAATGTGTAACTTTGTATGCTGACTGTGCAACAATTATAATTAGCAAAAACCTGGAAGTTGCACAAGCAAATCAACAGGTTTTTAAACATATGACAATACACCAAAGATCATTAGTTTCCTGTTCCTCTGATGAAGCTAGTTTCAGTATCACTATGGATAATTCATACTAACAAATGAAAAGCTGAACAAGGAAAGAAAAACTACGTAAAAAAGGAACAGGAGTTACTTGCACTCACAAATTACTTGGTGTTAAACCAGATTTCATACAAAAGTTGTCTTCAGATCAAAGTGTTTTCTTTAGATTCAGTAGAAACACTACAGACAGTAATTCACTATTTCAGTTTAAAAGGTAACTTGCTTTTATTTTTTTCTTGTGTTTTCTTTTAAGAAGTATTATGTCAGAATGGAAGCAAGAATCCCCGACCCTTAATTCTAGTGCTCAATATTCTGTTCACAGCTTTGTGCAGGATTTAATCTGCTTTTCAGTACATGTAACTTGGAAGGTAAGTGCTGAGTAAGTCCTTTGCAATGGCTGAAAAAAGAGACCACTGAAGGATGAAGTATACACAAGTCTTAGGTTTTTTTAGTCTGGATTCTTACTTTGTCAAATTTAGCAAGGTTGCTCTTCATACGTGGATCACCCTCTTCAGAACCTGTCATTGCCAACTGCTGCAGAAGCCTCCCAACCTGAAATGAAAAAGAAGTATGAAGAATAAGCATTTCAAAATAACATCATGATGGACCCCATTATAAAAACTCCTCCATTCTATTTTTTTTTTTTTTTCCACTTAATATTCCGAGAAATATTTCTGATTGAGTGGACAGTCTTGTACTTGCTTCCAGTGCAGAAAAAAATGCAAGAAGCTTTAGAAAGAAAGTAGTAATTGCATTTAACAATTAGAAAATCTGCACACACAGTATGCTATGAGCATCCATAGTTCTCCCCTTCCCAGGAACAAAGCATGTTTTGTTTTTACAACACGTCAGAATTGAGAGTTGAATCTAGGTCATCTTAAACCTAGAGCTTTTAAGAGGCTGTATGTATTTTACTAAGAATGTGTCGGGGGAGAAAAAACAGCAAGAGGGCTAACCCTTGTTTCAGAGCATATATTCCCTATTAAAATTGAGAGATGCTTTGCAGTTGGAGATTAAAGAGTCGCCAACTGCAAGCTCTGCTACAACACACAAGCAGTGACACAGGAGAGGACTGCTAAAGTAGTTTAGGGAAACACTGGCCAGGCCCTGTCAGTAACAGTCTAGCAAAGTAAAACTCACCAAATTATTACACTGTGAGAATCACTCACTGTCCAGTTTACAGACAACATTAAAAAGCAGGTTTTGTTACTTGTATGGGGAATATCCTGAGTCAGACAAGCACTGCTTAATACCTTCAGACTACATCTCTACATACTATCATTAAATTGCCCGAGCACTTCCACAAAGACAAAAATTTGTCATGAGGGCTGGGGAATACTCTAAGGTCTGAATGAAACAGTAGATGGCTACGCAGCAGAAACACTGGTCACTACGGCCAGACAAGAAGGATTTCTCAGCAAAATATTTCATTATTTTGTGCATTACCTGACATACTATTTAACATAAGTAAGAACTTCACAGCATTCATTTATACACATTCCAGAATTCATCTTATAGTCACTTCTATATTTTAGCTTTCATGCCTTATGACAGCTTTTATAAAGTACATTTGCAACTCTTCTAAGAGATAAAGGAATATGTGCTATTAATTTTTTTAAGACAATACTTTAAGCAAAGAGATAAACTTTAGAGCATGCCTTTTCAGCAACAATTAACACAAATATTTTGTTAGCATTCATCTTATAGGTAGGAGGGACAATACCTTTACCCTTACTGTAGGAATGTCAGTTCTAGAGGAAAAAAAAGGCCAAGAACATTTCTCATACTTTTGGGGTTTTTTAAGACTACTTTAAAGTGAGTCATACCTGCATCAGATTAAATCTTGCCACCTCATTTATAGGAGCATCAGAAATTATCCCATACTGTTCTGGGTTAACAATTGCAGGACAGATGAAACACGCTAGAAGAAGATCTGTGCACATTGCTCTGACCTCCCCAACCTCCAGCCTGTCTACACATGAGAGTGTTTTGTACATTTGTGACACTATCCATCTCAAGCTGTGAGGAAAACAGTAAGTGTTTTGTTTGAGATAGCCAATGAATTTGTTCACCAAGGTCACTAGCTTGGCCTCATTAGAGTCAACCATCTCTTGGACTCTTTGCTTGAACTTTTCTGTGCCTTTCTCTCCAAATAACTTTTCCTGTTGTACTGGGGAGAATCTCTCAATTAACTTGTTTGGATCTGTTTCCAGGTGGTCTTCATCTTCAACCAGAAGCTGCATGATTGGCTCATGTAAAGTTGCAGTAAGAAAAAGTTTTGCAGAAAAGAGTCCTTCAGAGAAAAGTTTGAATAAGATGCTGAATGCACAGGTGCCTCGTCTCAACAGCCGCCGAGGGTTGTCGCTTTCCTTGAGTTCAAATTCAATCAAGTAACGGAGGACCTGGAGGAGGTAGCTCTCATCCTCCTGCATGATGCAGTTGCCATAAATGGAGGTAAAGACTGTGTGAATGACACTCTGAGTGTTGTCCTGGTTGAGCTTCTCTCCAGCAACCAGGCAGGATGCAATAAGCCTAGGGTTCTCTCGCAATCTGTTCAGGAATTCTCCGTAAGCAGTCTCCTGAAATCCCAGCTGCTTATATCCATCCACAAACTGCGTGTCCTCCAGGATTTTAGCATGCTGGCAACATTCAGCAGGAGAAGCTTCAGCACTTCAAAGAAAAATATCGAAACAGTTTAAGTAACTCTTAAGCAAACAAACTTCATAAAAGATGCCACATGGTCAATCTATTAACAAGACAACCACCAAGGAAAAAAGCCTTTCCACATAGTTAATACAAATGATTTGCAAATTCAGGAATACGGAGAGTTTGTTCCCATAAACTAAGAACAGCATCAAAACAAACACATATGTTAAAAAAGAGGTAGCTTAAGCAGTCAATAAGTAAGTTTCAGGTGAGTCAGATTTCCTAGTTGAGATTTGCTTTGAAACCTTACTATTTTTATGATTAGTACAGCAAAGGACTCCAGATACTAAGTGTGAAAAATCTGATGGATTTTCTGCAGTTCACAGAAGTTTAGGAGCTTGTTCTCCCCAGGACCACCCCCCAAGTCACCTTGTTATGATCAGTCTGTCCAAGTTAATCCTTTGCTGCTTGGAAATCCATGCTGTGCGGTACAGCTTTTCAGCAGTCTTCAATACATCTGCATTGAGCCTTTGAATAAGTTGTTTTTCTGAGTTTACATATAGCCGTTCCTGCTTGAGGTGGTGGGCCAGCGTGTGTATATCCAGCTTCACCATCTTGGGCAGCGAGCGGTTACACAGTACTCACTGAAAGAAAGAAAGAAAGAAAATGAAGCAGGTGAATTCCAACAGTTAGGGAACAAGTTCTGTCAGCCCCGAGGAAGTGGTAAGCAGGTCAAAAACTTACACCTAGTAGTAAAAACGGCTGTGCCCCCTTCCATGTTAGCATATTAATATGGTCTCTCAAATCCACAGCCCACCACTTAATGACTGAGTCACTCTTCCTTAATGCAAGGTTTCCTAATTGCCAATTCCATTAACCCCTTGTTATGTCAGCCCATCAGGGACACACACTTACACAGTAGCAAATGGTATTTTCCCCTCACACTCATGAACTGAAACACTAATAGAGTACAGCACTACAAAACAACTGCACCACACCTCCAATACACAAGGTAAGAATCTGGCTGTTACTTGGAGAGATGTGGCCCTTGCTATGGTTTAGGTGACACAAGCTCAGGGGGGTGAAGAGGAGCCCCATTCTGCCTCCCCGTCTGGTGAATAGGCAAAAAGATTTCTGCACTTACTACCTTGTCCTAAAGTGTGCCCACATAATGCAGCACTACCCAAGTACCTGGGTGTGGTTATCTCTGGCCTGTTAAAACAAATGCCCTCTCTCACCTATGCATAAAAAGCACCAAGCTCCCAATACAGGTCTTTTATGTTTAAAAACTTTAAATAATATTACTAACTTAAAATCAAAATTAAAAAAAAAAAAAAAACAAAAACAAAAAAAACAAGGAGCATCAATACCCAAATAACGCAGAAGTTGGAAATAAATCTGGAGATTTTGCTCAGCAGTAGAATTCATTCAGAAAAAAATCCTCAAATATTTCAATTCAGGAGATTATTTCTTTGGGCCACAATCCAAAAACGTTGCTTTAAAGAGAGAAAACCTGAAACAACCGTAGGCTTTCATAACACATCAGGGACAAAAAAAAAAAAAAAAATCAACACAAACTACTGTTATATCTCAATGTAACACCAGCTTTAAATTCATAATTAGAAAACATCTTCATTACCAGTTAGATAGAAATACCACACCATTCAAAACAAGTTTAAGGAGCTAATCCATCTAAAAATTAACTCTATGGAAGAAAAAATACATCAGCTGCATTAATGCTGATGAGGGAAGGGGTCAAATCATGCAGATCAGATTGTTTCCATGGAATTAATGATTAACTGCTTTATGTCTTCTTCCCCACCAGAACTAACAGCCATACTAGCTAATTTGGGAAGAAAAAGGGTTTGATCCAGATATAATCTGTAACAGCTATCTGTCACCTAAATTGGTAAAGGATATGTGTCTGAGCTGCCAAGGGATCTGGCAACAAACCCTCCAAAGCCATACTACAGTTAAATGAAAAACTTACTTCCCACAACCTGTAGTGACTCGAGAGGAGCCTTGCTCCACAAAACCATTCAGTCCCCGTGTGAGAAACTACAAATAATGTACCCTGCACTGGCCTAATGCTCTCCCTTTTTAGTGTTTCAAAGATCTGTGGTTCACTGCTCAGCATAGCAGGAGATGATCCTCTCTGAAGAATACAGATTAGCTCCCTAATTAGGCACAGGTTTTACATTTGTTGGGCTTTTTTCAGTGTGGAGAAAGCCTGATAACCAGGTGCACTGACAACCATCACTGCTCCTTGCATGTTTAATTAAGTGCTTTCATCTATAGTTTTAACCTCACTACCAAAACCCTAGCAGAGACAAAGAGAGCTGCTGTCACAAGTCTCTCTGCATAACGCAATCTTATTACACCTGATGGTTTAAAAGCCATTCCTAGCAAATACAAACATCCGTGTATATAGAGCTCTCAAAACAAAAAAACAACCCAAACCAAAACCAAACTCAAAAAACCCAAACAAAAACACCCAGCCACCCTCATCAGCGGTTACAGCTCATGCATCCAAAGAGGAGATTAAGCAAGGAACTTGAAGGATGCGCTAGTTTAGATGTTTTTAAATAGGACAGTCTCAGAGAAACTATTAGAAAAAAGAAACACTGACATTACTGCTAAAGTTCTTTGAGAACAAACAACTTCTTGCAACAAATTTATTTTTAGCCCCAGAATTTAAGGGCTTGCAAAAAAAAACAGCATTAAACTTGATACTGCCTGCAAACACAGCAGTAACTAGTTATTAGGCTATGAGCTACTGCTATCAGCCAGGAAAAAGAAGTTGCATCCATAAAAATATACATACAGATCTGCAGAACTACCTTCTGTCTTTTCAGACACTTTCCCCTGTAACACTGTACTTAATAGTTGCTCCTAGTTTACCAAACCTTAGCAGTTTCAGCTGACATTTTCCATTTTAATGTGTCCATTCACAGGCTCCACTTTTCTGGACAGAAAGTTAGTTCAAGCGGTTCTGCTGCTTGTGAGAAAGTTTCGGGAAGGAACAGGGGACCCACGTGGGATAACTCCTGTGAACAGCCTGTTGACTTCGCCTGCATTCCTATGCCTTTGTCTTGCCAAATTTCAAATCAAGTTTCTATTTTCGTGTCACTCATTATAAACACATTTAACAGTAGACAAGCCAACTGAGCAGATTCTGAGGTGTCTTGTATACTTACAAGTAAAGTGATTTCCCTCACTGTTTCACTTATTTATTTATTACTAAAGAAGATGTTTTCACTGTCAGGAATGGGCTAAGCACTCTGACAGCTTTCAGCCTCCAAGGAAAGCCTGTCCCTTTCTCCCCTGACCCACAGGTAAGAGCAAACTTCAAAAGCCCAGTCAGCAAAACAAAGGTGTCCTGGAAACAATGTACTTTTTCTGGTAAGTTATGATTATCAAGATAGCAGTTAAATTGTTGGTAACCTTTTCTGGAGCAGATAATTAAAAAAAAAATACAAAAAGAATTAAAAAAAAAATCAGTTAATACTCAGAAAGCAAATAAGACCCACACAGTCCAGAGTCCTAATATGCATGCATATAATCCACCTGTCCAGCAAACAAAAAGAGCAACAAAACAGTAGAAAAGGTCAGACTACTCCAAAACAATATTGTACTATTTGTGATGTCATCTGAAAAAAAAAAAAAAAGGCAAACAAAATAACCAGTACGGGCCTCACACATACTCAGAAAGTGAAGTCACCAACTACCGCACAGATGATTTGGGCATCTCCTCCTGCTAAAGCGTCACAGACATTAAACAGACACCGCAGCACTGAATAACTGTGAAGTTGCACCCTGCTGCGCGTTCTTATTTTTTGTAAACTAATTGCCAAACGAACTTCAGGCCAAAACAAAACATGGCTCCAAAGACCACCGTTACCTGCATCTGCACTTCTAAATATACTGGTGCCATGACTGCTTGATAATATCCTATCAATTGGCTGCTACCCATGTACCTATCTTATCTGTCTCTACTGCAGAACACCAGAAATAACAAAAGCAAAAGGTGAATTGATTTGGAACTGAACCACAGCAGGTTAGCAAGCACCATGCTTTGTCAAGAGCTATGAAAATCCACAGGATCTTCCTGTCAATCCACAGGAAGTCGACTGAGCAACAGCAGTTTTTACCCTATGTACAAGAAAAGGGGATCAGGGGCTTTATCCCGTCTTTATAATCCTCCATAAAAATGAAACTAATTTGATTGCTAGCGATTGCTACTGAAATACACATCTATGAAAAGGAATGCCTCATTCACTCCCATTTACCAGTTTTTAAAAATTAATTATTCTGAAGTCACACAAGTATAGCAAGCAACAGCGCAAACAATTTTGGCTTCAGCTTAAGTTTCTGGCAGACATTTGACAACACTGGAGATGTAAAGCAGGTAGTTTAATACACGCGGTACTTCAGCAGGCTTCAGACGGGCTCTAAAGAAAACTTGCAGCATAATAAAGAAAACCCAAAAAACCTAGTTGAGCAAGATGCACATGCTATTACTCTCCTCAGCTCCTGATAGTATTAACACAGCCTGTTTTGAAAGAAGAAACTACTGTAGCACTAACACACCTCCATGGCACACACTGCTCCCCTCTGAAAACCTCTTCCCTTTACGATCGGTACAAAAAGACAACAGTTGCGTTCTCTGACCAGGCTACAGCACGGTTGCTCCAGGCCAGCAGTCGGGACAAGAGCTTTAGAAGCCATTAGCCACAGTCCCACACGCGGTGACACACCACAGAAGGCAGCACCGGGGCAGAGCGAGCGGCGGCAGCTTCAGCTGGTACTAATTCCAGAACGTTGTTTGTCAGATTACCTTATCGGTTTCTCATAAACAAAAAGGTGCCCACAATTATCCAATTACCTGGTTTATGAGTACCATGCACCATACTTCAAATAACAAAAGTCTGTATATAGTTGTATAAAGGAGACAATTTAGGAAATTCAGAAACAGTCTGCTGTGGCTGAAGAAACAACAGATATTAAATAGCTCCTGCTATGTGCAAATTATTTTTCAATCCTGGCAATTTCATTTTAATACAAAAACATTTCATTTTTTTTCCAGTTATTTCAAGACTGTTTAGTAACCTACTAAAAGCTGTGACGCAGTAAGAGAAACTTAGCACAATAATTCAAACAATTTCACTTCATGATGCTCCACCATATCAACAACAAAGATTGCATGATCTGACAGCAGCATCTAAGATGGTTTGCCCTGCTGACATAAGTCTGTTCAGAAACCAAGATAATCTGTGCCTTTGCTGAATGCAGGACACAGGTTGCTTCCTACGTTTAAAAGTCCCGGAAAACACTACATTTAATCTTTAGGTACTGAACTTCACCTTACAAAGTACGTGGTTGTGTACTGTGGCACACAGGAACAAGTGACATCTCTGCTGAATATTTCTGCTATTCAGTTGACAGAAAAGAGATTAAGTAGTAAATACTGCTAGTACACCAGATTCTTCTTCCTCCTCCAGCGTTTCCTGCTCAAGGTTATTTGCTCCTCCTGAGTCTTGCTATGCAAGACTCAACTTCCAAAGCAAGTTTGGGCAGATCTAACGTAGTCAGGGCAGGGCAAGGCAAAACTGAAATCACTCCGTCTTACTGAAAAATAATTCCTAAGCAAGCTTGAATAACTTCCATGCTAATTCACCCCAGATGAAGTACCTCTTTCTTCATTAATATTTATAGTAATAACTAACAAGCCTTATTTCTTCATATAAGCTAACAGCCTGTCTCCCTTAGTTGAACTAAAAAAGTCCATTTTCCAGTAGGATAGTTCACCATGACCTAGAACTTACCTGCTGAACTCTCACATTACAACACCCGCCACCTCAAAACATGCATACAACATGCGAAATGCGTTTCAATTCGCTACAGCTCAACTATCTAATCAATATTAATAAGAAACTCATACCTCAAGTTTCTGTCTGCCCAGTGGCTGCTCTGCAGCTAGCCTTGAACATCCTGTCTATCCAGCAAGAATTCACGTGCAAGGAGCACCTTGTTTCTCATGCCCCTTAACAGAATTTATCAGTCATGCACAGCATCAGCTGGCTACTAGATTATCTATTACAGTATTACTCTGTCGCATAAAACCAACAAAAGCATATAACCATGCTAAAATCTACTCCAGTTGCTTGTGATGCTAGAAAGAGGAGTTCCCCTTACAGAAGGAGTCATAAACTTTTGGTCAGAAGTGCAGAACTCGAAACTGCTCAAGCTGACAAAAACAACCTGCTCCTGGACCCTTCTCTCTTGAGCAGCTCCCTTACTCATCGTGAAACATCCCATCCATGGTCCACCATGAAGGGTAACTGCTGTAAGGACAAAGTATATTCTCCAGGACCTGACAAACCTCACACCAAAACCCTTGTGGGGAGTACCTTAAATATTTTGGAACCCTCCACGGCAGCGGCAGTTTAGAAGTCTGTTTCCTAAAACCACCATCCCGCTGCTTTTACAGAAGCGCGCTATTTCAGGTTTCATGTCCTGTCCGTGCCATTCCCCTCTCCATCATCTTCAAACTGCAGCTTCTACTTGCGAGTCGATCGTCCACAAAAATAGCATTCTACCTATCAGTAAGTGTAGTGTCACATGCTCGGTTTGAGAGCTTAATCGTCACGGCTCTCCTTCCTTCAGAGCACAGTATCATGACTTTGCAAGAAAACAATAAATACTCACTTTGGTCACGTTCTTCAGCATTAGGGGTCTGCTAGTAGCAAAAAAGGGAAGTCGCGACACGCGTCGAGCTGCAAGTTTTAAACCTGCATAACACAAAAGCCATGCAGGAGAGACGCCGGCGACGCGCACGCCGAGCGCTCGGGCAGCGATGCATTGCCCAGTGCCGCGGCGGCCGAGAGCGGAGAGGGCCCCGGCCGCCCAGCGCTTCGATTTTTCCAACACCTCCGCAAACCTCCAGAACCACCGGTTCCCAGCACTGACACGGCCGGTGGGACTGGCTCCGGCCGGAGGCGGCTGGCGGAGAAGAAAGGCACAGATGAACGCGCTCGGGGAAATGTTACGGCCAACTTCGCTCCGTGCCCGCCGCCGCCTTCCCCACGGTGCCAGCCTTCCCCCCCCCCCCCCCGCAGACCCCGCGCACGGCTCCGGACAAACCTCGCTCCCCGGACCAAGCAATACAGCCTCCCGACCCAGGGCTCGGTCCCCCGCCGCGCCGCCCGCCTTCCCGCTCGCCTCCCTGAAACACCGAAGGGTTTGGTCAGGCCCCGGGCCGGCGGGGGGGGCTGCGGGGCGGCCTGGCCTGGCCTGGCCTTCCTCCCGCTCCCCGGCCCTCCTCCTCCTCCTCCTCCTCGGAGCAGCGGGAAGGGGGGGGGGGGGGGGGGCGGCAGCCAAAGCGGTGCCGCGGGGGGGGTGGGTACGAGCGCGCCCCTTACCCGGCCAGCGCCCCGGCCCCGCCGCCGCCGCCCGGCTCCCGCTGCGGCCCCGAGCCAGGCGCGGCGCGGCGCGGCACTGCGCAGGCGGCGGGCGGCGGCCGCGCTCCTGGGACATGTAGTCCCTCAGCCGGGGCCCTCGGCGGAGCCCCCCCCGGGCCGGGCCCTCGGCGGAGCCCCCCGGGCCGGGCCCTCGACGGAGCCCCCCGGCCCGGGCCCTCGAGCGAGCCCCCCGGCCCGGGCCCTCGGCGGAGCCCCCCCCGGCCCGGGCCCTCGACGGAGCCCCCCGGCCCGGGCCCTCGAGCGAGCCCCCCGGCCCGGGCCCTCGGCGGAGCCCCCCCCGGCCCGGGCCCTCGGCGGAGCCCCCCCCGGCCCGGGCCCTAGAGTGAGCCCCCCGGCCCGGGCCCTCGGCGGAGCCCCCCGGCCCGGGCCCTCGGCGGAGCCCCCCGGCCCGGGCCCTCGAGCGAGCCCCGAGCCAGGCGCGGGGGGAGCCCCGCCACCGGCCCCCGCCCGCCCATGGCTCCCCCTCAGGCGATGGAGCCCCCCCAAAACCCAGCACTCAGCTCCAATCCTCCTCATTCCATTCCCGCCCCCCCCCCCCCCCCCCCCATTTTATTTTTAAATAGCACCTTTCTTCATTTAGCCCGTGCCCGTTCTGCCTGGTTTTCACCCCATCTATTTTCAGAGGAAGGCCAGCGGCGCGCAGAGGGTCTCTGCGGTGGGCTTGGCGCCGTTGTGTCCAGGGGAGGGGGGGGGGATTGGGCTTCACACCAGCTCTTCGTGCCGTGGTGCGATCAAAACCCTCTTGCAGGAGCGATTTAGGTTGGCGGCACTTCTCTACAGACATCTCTAGACGGCGCGTTTCATCTCCAGGCGCTTTACCAACAGGTAAGAGACCCGTAAGCGTCGGCCACCACAGCGGTTCACAAAGCAAAAGCTGCCAACTCACGGGTATGCCCAGTGTGAACACGCTGCTCCACACCACAGCAGTCCTGCCTGGATAATAGCAATTGCTTCATCATAAATAGCAACATACATAACTTCAGCCTAAAACGTGGTTAACGCAATACAGACACAGCATGATTCTCACTTTGGCCCTCTTTTTGAGATTCTCAGAAAACAGACGGCTCTCACTGACAGATGACAGGGCCTGGTACAACTGAACAAGCAAAGAAGAGGCTCAGACTGACAGAGGAACATGGTACAGTCACACTGAGACTGACCTGCAGGGACGAGGATAGAGACCAAAACCACAACGCTCAACACACAGGATTGCTCCTCATAACACACTTAAGTCACTGGCGTAACCAGCAGAAATACTCAGGAAGACTGAATAGTAGAATGTAATTTATTGCGTGAAAGTAATTTGTCCCAACAGAGGGTTTAAGAAGCCTGTTCTCCAAGGGGAGAGAAAAGAGCTGGAGACAGAGAGGAACCATTTGCAGTCTAGGAGGGTCCTGCACAGCCCGCGGAGGGGGACGCCCAGTCGCAGTGCACAATGTCAGCGACCGGCCGTGGCTCCGAAGGGCACCCAGCGCTGCGAGGCCTCCAGCTGGGGAGTGCCCGGGCACCCCGCCGAGACGGGCGCCGTATCGGGGCTGGACGGCGATGCCCCTGGGAAAGGGCCCCCTCCCGAGCCACCACAGCGGCCTGCTTTTTATGCCCAGGTGGTGTGCAGAGCTCTGCCCAACAGGCAACTCAAAACACGAGCCAAACGTTCACACTTTGTATCTCTCTCCAAAACGCTGCCTGTGTGCCTTTTTCTTAACTGACACAGTTACTGCCCTGAATTCTCTTCTCTGATAAAAGAGAATGTCTTATGTAATTGAACTTTTAATATCCAAATAACATTTTAGAAACAACTACGGCAAACTGAAATATGACAAAAAAAAAAATGTTCATCAAGCCTAAACACAGGAGGCACCAGCAAACTGTCACGCCCGGTGCCACGCAGCCAGCGTCACGCTGTATTCCCGATCGTGACACAGAATACTGGCTGTATTTACCACATCGCTCCCCCTGAGAACGGAGGAAAACGAGCCAAGGGCCTACAAGTACAAAACTGCCTCCCCTTGTCTACACAAGGTTTCCTAAGAAGAAATAAAACACATTCTTTACAGTTCTCAGGACACATAGCTATACTAGGAGATAATTCTACTTCAAGGACTAAGATCAATAATTTGCATCAGACATTTTAGGATTTTTAAGAGGAGAAAGTCAAGTCAATGTGAATGCAATGCAAATATAGCTCAATTAAAAAATAAGAACCACAAACGTATAAAGGACACAAGATATACTTCAAAATAGAAAGAAGAGTATCGTGATCAAAATGGCATTTCCAGATTATGTGTTGAGCAACAACAAAGTCTTCTGACAATGTCTCACTTCATAATCACAAGAAGCCCAGGCAGCTAGGCCAGGCCCCACTGGCAGGAAGTCCTTTACACTGGCAGAATGCTGCCTGAACACAGCGGTGTTTCTCTCTGTTTGTAACCACCTTTTTTTATACCACAACTACTTGAAATTATTTTTGTTAGAGTTCAGATCTGTTGTCATCCAAAGGTGAATGAACAACTTCTAATTTCTCATCTTATGCCACTCCCCCCCAATCGCTCAAAACTTTATTTTTTTCAACTGGGAGTTTTCTAATACTTTCTTTAAAGCGTGCTTTTAAATGTAAGCAGGTAGGTAGGTCACGTATGCATGCGCGATCCACCGGCGCATAAGCCAAGGGATGGCAGGGACGCAGCCAGGCCTGTTCCCCACATACCGCAGGGGTGACCCAGGTGGATCCACACTCTCGAGGTGCCTTCCCCCTCCCGTGGAGTTCCCCACCCCAAAAAGCCAAGGGCCTGATGTCACACGGTGTGGCGAGCGAGGACGTGTCCTGACACCCTGGTGCAGAGGGCGGTGAGCACCCTCCCCGAGACCTCGGGGCAGCACAACAGACCCAACCTTTCCTCAGGGCTGCCCGCCCGCGTTGTCACCTCGTCCCCCGCAGCCGTGGCATCAGGGGCGGGGGGGGGCCGGTCGTACCGGGTGTGGGCCCGCGGGCTCGGGGGGGCCGCGCTGGGCCAGGCCCTGCTTGGCTGGAGGGGGCTGTGCCCGCCCGGTGCCAGGGCGGCCGCGGGGCCCGGCTCTCACCGCCCCCCCCCCCTCGCGCGGTCCCGGCGATGGCGGCGTCGCGGGAGCGCAGCCCCCCCGCAATGGCGGGCGGCGGCCGCCCGCCCTCGGTAACTATGGAAACTTCCAGAACGTGTTCGTCCCGTTTCCCTCCCCCCCCCCCCCCCCCCCCCGCCCCTTCCCGTCCGCTGCCCCAGCCTCGCCATGGCGGCCGCCCGCAGCCAATGAGCGCCCTCCGCTTGGCTCACGCTTCTCTGGTGATAGGCCCGCGCCGCCGGCGGGGTGAACCAATGGGGCGGCGGGAGGGGGGGCGCGCCAGACATGTCAGAGGGACCGCCGGGTTCCCGCCAATCAAGGGAGGCCAGCTTAGTAGCGGCCAGCCAATGGAGAGGCTCCAGCGAGAGCGCCGCAGCCAATGGCGAGCCTCCACGAAGGAGTAACGGAAGGTATATAAGGGCGGGCGGCGCGGCCTGGGCCCGCAGCAGCAGTTCGGGGCGCGGCGGGGCGAGAGGCGACGGTGAGGGCAGCGGCGGCGGGGCCGGGAGGGAGGGGGGGGGGGGGGGGGGGGCGGCGGCGCGGGCCGAGCCGAGCGCGGGGGGGGGGGGGGGGGGCGGCGGCGGCGGCACTGCCGGCCCCTCGCGTGGCGCCTCCATTTTGTGACCGGCGGTTTCTCGGCAGGCTGACGCGGGCGAGCGGTCGGGATGAGGAACCTCCTGTTGGCGCTGCTGCTGCTGGGCGCCGCGCGGGCGGAGGAGGAGGAGAAGAAGGAGGACGTGGGCACGGTGGTGGGCATCGATCTCGGGACCACCTACTCATGGTATGTGGGGACGGCGTGGGGAGCGAAGCGGCTGAGTCTCGGGGGGGGGGGGGGGGTGGGGGTGGGGATGGCTGGGCCTGTGGGCCCATGCGCGATGCTGGGCCTCGGGTGGGGGCAGTGGGCTGTGGGGCCCGGGGAGGGGAAGAGGGGAAGGGGTGCAGGCCCCAGCGCCGCCTGACTGCTCCGTTACCCTCCCCCCCTCCCCCAGTGTGGGCGTCTTCAAGAATGGCCGCGTGGAAATCATCGCCAACGACCAGGGGAACCGCATCACGCCGTCCTACGTGGCGTTCACGCCCGAGGGGGAGCGCTTGATCGGGGACGCTGCCAAGAACCAGCTCACATCCAACCCCGAGAACACGGTGTTTGATGCCAAGCGGCTCATCGGCCGCACCTGGAACGACCCTTCGGTGCAGCAGGACATCAAGTACCTGCCGTTCAAGGTGGGCCCCAGGGCAGAGGGGGGGTGCCTAGGTGTCTGCTCAGAAGAGGCTGCTGAATCCTGATGCTCTTCAGCAGCTCTGCAGGTCCTCTGGAGAGGCTTTGGGTGCAGTGAAGTGGCTGTGGTGCATAGACAGCAGTTCCTTGTGCTAGCATTCAAGTTATATTTGTTATAGAGGCTTAATCTTCAGAAAGAAACACTCAAATGGGAATAATTCTATGAGTTGTTGAGTAGAACAGTATTATACATTGTTCTCTGCAGGTTGTTGAAAAGAAAGCCAAGCCCCATATCCAAGTCGATGTTGGAGGTGGACAGACAAAAACATTTGCTCCTGAAGAAATTTCTGCCATGGTCCTGACAAAGATGAAGGAAACTGCAGAGGCATACTTGGGAAAGAAAGTAAGTTTGTGAATCTTACCAATAAGAATCTAGAACAGCAGCTCTATGAAACTCAAGGTGGGTGGGCTCAATCTGTGGACTCACCTTGCAATCCTAAGCTCTGGTCAGTGCTGCTGGCCCCTCAGGCAGCCCAGTGCAGTGGGCTCAGCTGATGGTGGGTTTTCGCCTCTCTTGAAAGAACACTGGGCTACTTGTTATCAGCACCTCTGTGGCTATTTACAAGCTATGTGCTTTTCTTTCACTTCTAACAAAATGGTGTCTTCTTACTCCTTACGCAGGTTACCCATGCTGTTGTGACTGTGCCAGCCTACTTCAATGATGCCCAGCGCCAGGCTACAAAAGATGCTGGTACCATTGCTGGGTTGAATGTGATGAGAATTATTAATGAGCCGTAAGTAGCCTCACCTGTCCTGCCTGCTGGGGGCTGGGGGGTGGTGGTCCCAGTGCTCTGATTGGGCTGTCCCCTCTACAGAACGGCTGCTGCCATTGCTTATGGACTGGACAAGAGAGAGGGTGAGAAGAACATCCTCGTGTTTGACTTGGGTGGTGGAACTTTTGATGTCTCCCTCCTCACAATTGACAATGGAGTCTTTGAAGTCGTGGCTACTAATGGTGACACTCACCTGGGTGGAGAAGACTTTGACCAACGTGTTATGGAACACTTCATCAAACTCTACAAGAAGAAAACTGGAAAAGATGTCAGGAAGGATAACAGAGCTGTGCAGAAGTTAAGACGGGAAGTGGAGAAAGCAAAGCGAGCCTTGTCATCTCAGCACCAGGCTAGAATTGAAATAGAATCTTTCTTTGAAGGAGAGGACTTCTCAGAGACCCTTACTCGAGCCAAGTTTGAGGAGCTGAACATGGTAAGTTTAGAAAGGTAAAGTTACATTGCCTGCAGTCTAGATTGGAGACTGGTGAACGTGCAGTATTTTGTGCTGTGACACACTGCACTTCAGGGTATAAATATCTTCCTGCTTGCACTTAGAAGCAGGCAGCTGCTCCTTGCCAGGGTAGCTGGGGCTGCGTGTATGTTGACGACAGCTGAGGGCTCCTGAAGGCTGGCCATAAGCCTGTTAAGGTTTCCCCTCTATAGTGGTTGCCCTTTGTACCCCAAGGCTGTGTAATTCAAAGGCTGGGCACGTTAGAATACAGTCTTACAGTCTGGGCTGCTTTTGTCTTCCTAGGACCTGTTCCGTTCCACCATGAAGCCTGTTCAGAAAGTTCTGGAAGATTCTGACCTAAAGAAGTCTGACATTGATGAGATTGTTCTTGTTGGCGGCTCTACTCGCATCCCCAAGATACAGCAGCTAGTTAAGGAGTTCTTCAATGGGAAGGAGCCTTCTCGTGGCATTAATCCAGATGAGGCTGTAGCCTATGGTGCGGCTGTCCAGGCTGGCGTTCTCTCTGGGGACCAAGATACAGGTATTGACACCTTCACTGTCCCTTCAAGAGTGACCCTGAATAGTGGATATTAGTTATTGATAAATGTAGTAGAACTTACTTTCCAGTCCTTAGGAGGTTTTGTGCCTCAGACCTCAGGATCCTGTTTGCAGTGATGGGATGTTGAGTTTCTTTTGGGTTTAACCTCATGTTGCTCTTACCCTTGATCTGTTACAGGTGACTTGGTGTTGCTTGATGTCTGTCCTCTGACACTTGGCATTGAGACTGTTGGAGGTGTAATGACTAAACTGATCCCAAGAAACACTGTTGTTCCCACAAAGAAGTCTCAGATCTTCTCCACGGCTTCTGACAATCAGCCAACTGTGACAATCAAGGTCTATGAAGGTAAGTGTCACCCATGAGTGGACCAGGTTGACAGCTGGGATCTGTCTGTAGGACCCCAATACTTGCTACTGTCTTGCCACAAAGGCTGCAGCATTTGGAGATGGTTATGGATGGTTCTGTGGAGAAGAATTTGGTGGTGGTGGTGCCAGCTTTCTAAAACTGCTCTGATCAGCTTTCCTGACCTGCATCAAAAGCTGTTATTAGAATCTTTCAAATGTCACTTTTTTTTCCATGGTTCTACTCTGAAGAGCTCTTCAGAGTGAGGGGTGCTACTGCAGGAGGGTGGAATGGAAACTGTACTTCTTAAGTGTAGCTTGTGTTTTCACAAAGTACAAGCCACAGCTATGAAAGAAACCGTATCTAATTGTGTCTTCTAGGTGAGCGTCCCCTCACCAAGGATAATCATCTCCTGGGAACGTTTGATCTCACGGGAATCCCTCCTGCCCCTCGCGGTGTCCCCCAGATTGAGGTTACCTTTGAAATAGATGTGAACGGAATCCTCCGTGTCACAGCTGAAGACAAGGGCACTGGGAACAAGAACAAGATCACGATCACAAATGATCAGAATCGGCTGACGCCAGAAGAGATTGAGAGGATGGTTAATGATGCTGAAAAGTTTGCAGAGGAAGACAAGAAGCTTAAAGAACGCATTGATGCCCGGAATGAGCTGGAAAGCTACGCCTATTCTCTGAAGAATCAGATTGGGGACAAGGAGAAGCTGGGCGGTAAGCTGTCATCTGAAGACAAAGAAACGATAGAGAAAGCAGTAGAGGAAAAAATCGAGTGGCTTGAAAGCCATCAAGATGCAGACATTGAAGACTTCAAAGCGAAAAAGAAGGAGCTAGAGGAAGTTGTTCAGCCAATTGTTAGCAAGCTCTATGGGAGCGCAGGCCCTCCCCCGGGTGAAGAGGAAGCAGCAGAGAAGGATGAGTTGTAGATATGGGCGTCTCTGAATGTTGTGTGTGTATATATTGGACTCAGGAACACTTGTTTAAAATATTGAACTCTTAATTTGGAATGTAACTTTGAATCTTCACTCGTGAGTGGAGCTGGAACCGCTAGCCCAACGTGGCTGTATACTGCTTTTCGTTAGCAGTTGCTTGATGTCTGGGGAGGGATGGGTAGCAGGGGGGGAGTGTAAATGCAAAAAGGGGTTTAGAAGTCTCAGCAGTGGAAGCATTCTATTTAACAGCTCGGTCATGCGAATTTGGTGTAGAACTTTTCTACCTGAAGTGACCACAATAAATTTGTTATTTACACTGGATCTGGTTCTAGGTGCTGTTTTCCCTTACCCAGTTGAGCAGTTGGTTCTAACCGGGGTGTGGATTATGCCCCAGGGAGGGGCTGGGCCCTGGGGTCACAGTGCCATCTCCAGTTTGCACTTTGGAGGGACCTTCACCTTGGCACTGCAGGAAGGTGGCTCTGCCCTCTGCCCTGTGTCTGTTCTGGGGGTGGGGAAGTTTGGCCTCTACTGCCCTTGGTTTGGGGGAACCCTGGGGGTGTAATTAACCCTCAACAGATCCCTGTAAGGAAGGGGGGTGCTCATCAACTGGAGCACCAGTAGAGCTGCTTGAGGATGCAAACTTAAAGGCAAAGCCTGCGTGGAAGAGGAAACTAGCTTAACTACGTCACACTATTAAAACTGGTTTTAGGAGCTTTTAGTCTCACATGAAAACAGACCAGTTTCCTGCAAACCAGTCTACGCCCACTACAACACTTCCTTTAAAAAGAAAAAGCCTAATGGGAACTCAGTCTTTTTATTTAACTGTGGTCCTTATTGAATCCATGGGATTAATTCAATTCCCTCTCTGAGTACAGAAGGAGATTTTGTATCCAATACCTCCTTAAAACCACTCTGCATTTCACCTTTTCCCTGCTGTGGGCAACAATTTTTTTTTTAGTTTTCCCTCCTTTTCAAAGTAGTGAAAGCTAAAATTCAAATTCTCCCCTCAAGAAGCTGTTGCCCGGCTGTGGCTGTGCAGCTGGGTGTTTCGCTCTCCCAGCACAAACCCCTCCTGGTTCCCCTGTTCCAGTGGGCACTGCCAGTGCGCCCCAGGGGTGCCTGAGCACAGCGCTGCCCTGGGAGGGTGAGGATTTGTTTATTGGGAAGAAGAAGGAATGTGGCAGCTCTACAAAAACTAGCAAAGGCCGGTGCTGCGCAGGGCAGCGGCTCTGCTATTCGATGAGGCTGACAACGCAGTCCCTGTAGATTTCCCCCTCGGTGTCCATCCCCCCGAATATTAACAGTAGATGCACCGTTGTGTCCTCGGCACACCCCTCCTCTTCCTCCTGGCTCTTCGGGAGGGGGTCAGCTCTGTCACCTGCTGACACAGCCGACTCCGTCCCAGCTCCCGCGGCTCCGCTCGTGCCAGTCTGCCAGGGAACGACGCACATGGCGTGGTCCAGCCTCGCCGCAGGCAGAGGGGAAGCAAACTGCACCAGCGTCCACTGCTGCTTCCCTGCAGTGCAAAAGACACGCGTTCATCTCTTCCAGTGCAGCCCCACAGGCTTTAAACGCACGCTGGGAGAGGGACATCGTCAACTAGACCCGTTTTCAACATCACAGAGCGTTCAGTTCTGTGCTGGTGTGAGCCCAGTGCAGCGACGCTGCCCGCCCCGGGGCTGGAGCCCAGGAACTGAGCGGGTGACGCGCTGCCCAGCTGAGCAGCATTTACCGTTACACAGCTGAGAGAGGCCTCCCTACCTGTGTCATACTTGTACGTGGTATCCAGTGCCCCCTCGGGCCCTATGCCACCAAAAATGTACAAGTGGTCTTTAAACACAGCGGATGAGTGGGATGCCCGTCCTCCCGGGATGTCACCGGTGGCTGGTATCTTAACCCATCTCAGGTCGTCTGTTGGAGAAAAAGAACACGTCTGTGCTTATGCATCATAAAAACCCCACAAGTTTTGTTGCTTTAAATAAACATGGTAATATTTTAAGCACTTAAGAACCGATCTTTTAGAAAAAGGGTTCCCCAAAGTCAAAACACATCACACAGCAGCCATTGCTCTGCAGTACCTATATCCATACTTACTTATATCAATGCAGAACAGATCATTGTAAAAAATATCACCAGCTAAACCTCCATGGATGAAGAGTTTGGTCCCAACGGCAACCACGACGTGTCCGTGCCGAGGAGAAGGAGGATCACCGTGAGTATCTGGCTGGGACCAGGTCAAGGTGGCTAAAAATGGGAATACATACACGTGCATTAGAAAGAAGACTCTGGAAGCTCTACAAACGGGTGACCCCAGAGCCCTGCCAAGGCTTCCGAAGGATGTGCTTCCAGCAAGGTCAGAGGAGCGTTAATGCCCTGTCACAAAGCGCAGGCAAGCCCTCGACGGAGCTGTGTGCTGTTTGGGTCACCCAGTAGCAGGACAAGTTAATTCAAACTGGAAAGCAAACCCTTTCTGGTGCACACAGGGCCTTAACAATGAACGGGACAGCTCCGACAGTAGCACGGGCAGCACAGGACGATGCCACCACAGAAAGGACTCAGCTGTTGGGCAAATGTGACAAACCACTCCCATCTCCCACGGCGTTCCTCATCCCAGAGCTTTACAGTGCCATTTTGGCCCAAGCTCCCAGTGACTACATAAAGAGAAGTATACGCCAACAGCAAGGAACATCTACCCAGCTGGCCGTTTAAACTCGTAGCCGAAGCACGGGCCCTACATTTCCACAACTTTCTTTGAGTCTGAAACGCAGAGCTCCTGTTCAACAGTGGATGGGTTCCACCGTTTGGGACGACAACCCTTTACGCGTCCAGAGGTACCTGTGTCGAACACGTGAAGCTGCTGGTCTCTGACTGGTTCTGCTCCTTTATCTCCCCCTCCAAACACATACAGACAGTCTCCTATAGCTGCTGAGGAGGTGTGAAACGTCCTAGGTAGTGGCTGCACACCACGCACTTCAGGACTCTCCCAGGTTCCTATTTCTAAATAGGATACGTGATTACCAATGTAATCAGCACGGTAGCAGGAAACCCTCCGCTCCCCCTCCCCGGTATCGGCCACCACGAAGGAGCCAGCAGCGGCTTTGCGGCCGTTTGGTCCCGCACACCCAGGGCTCCCACAGCTCTGGCCCTCGGAGCCGGCCCCAGGTCCCGCTCACGGCGGGGCGAGGGCAGAGGCTCGACGTGGGGAGGGAGCCCCGGGTGGGCGAGCCGCCCTGCCCGTGCGGGGCACGGGCCCCGGTGCAGCCGGTGCTCGGGCACTCACCCAGGTCCAGCACCTGGACGCAGCTCCGGTTGCCGGCCGGGTGGGCGCCGCCGAACACCCAGAGGCGCGGCGGGGCGGCGGCGGGCAGGAACGTGGCGTGTTCGTAGCGCGGCCGCAGCCCGCTCCAGCCAGCCGCAGCCCAGCGGTGTGCGCCTGCGAGCGGGGGGAGCGCGGTCAGCACTGGCCCCGGGCCCCCCTCACCTATCTCCCCCGGCCCTCACCCAGCCCCGCCGGGTCTCCCCAGCCCTCCCCCAGCTCCCTCGGTCCCCTCTGGGCCCCCCCATCCCTCCCCCAGCTCCACCGGTCCCCCCCGGCCCTCACCCAGTTCCCCTGGGCCCTCCTAGGCCCTCACCCGGCCCCCTCAGGTTCCCCTTCCCCAGAGCCCCCCAGTTCCCCCTGGCCCTCACCCAGCTCCCCCGGACCCCTGGGCCACCCTGGCCCCCACCCAGGTCCTCCCCCCACCCCTCAACCAACCCCCTCGGGTCCCCCCAGCTCTCACACAGCTCCCCTGGTCCCCTCTGGGCCCCCCTCCCTGTCCCCCCCGAGCCTGCCCGGTCCTACCCCCGGCCCTTCCCCAGCTCCCCCGGTCCCTCCCGGCCCTCACACGGTTCCCCCGGGCCCCTGGGCCCCCCCCCAACCGGGGACCCCCGGCCCTCACCCAGGTGTCCCCCCCCGCCCCCAGCCCCCCCCAGCCCTCACCCAGCTCCACGAAATGCGCGTCCGCGAAGGCGCCGGCGGGGTCCGCGCCGCCCAGCAGCAGGAGGCGGCCGGCCCCGCCGCCCGGCACGAAGAGGCAGCCGTGGCCCACCCGGCCGCGGGGCCGGTCACCGCGCGGCGACAGCCGGTACCTGCGGGGAGCGAGGGGCCGCGCTCAGCCGGGCCGGGACCCGCCCCCGCCCCCCCCGCCGCCTCCCGGGACACCCCCTCCGCCCCGCTCACCACCGGGCCGGGCGCGGGCGCTGCCCCGGCGGCAGCAGCGGGAGCGGCGGCGGCTCCCGCGGGCCCATGGCGGGAGCGCGCGGCGGGCGGGGGCGCGCGGCGGGCGGAAGCAGCAGCCACCGCCCCCCGGAAGCGCCGCGCCCCCGCTTCCGGCCCGCAGCCGCCGTCCCAAGATGGCGCCGCTGGACCTGGACAAGTACGTGGAGATCGCGCGGCTCTGCAAGTACCTGCCCGAGAACGACCTGAAGGTGCGGGCGCGGCGGGGCCGGGGCGGGGCGGGGGCGGCGGGGCCGGGCTCACCCGCTCCTCTCCCCGCAGCGCCTCTGCGACTACGTCTGCGACCTGCTGCTGGAGGAGTCCAACGTGCAGCCCGTCTCCACGCCCGTCACCGTCTGCGGGGACATCCACGGGCAGGTAACGGGCGGGGGGCGGCCCGCCCGCGGGGCCCCGGGGCCCGCCGCCCGCCCTCACGCCGCCGCCGCCTCTCCCCGCAGTTCTACGACCTGTGCGAGCTGTTCCGGACGGGCGGGCAGGTCCCGGACACCAACTACATCTTCATGGTAGGTGCGCGCCGGGCCGCATCCCGCATCCCCATCCCGCATCCCGATCCCGCATCCCCATCCCGCATCCCCATCCCGCATCCCGATCCCGCATCCCGATCCCGCATCCCGATCCCGCATCCCGATCCCGCATCCCCATCCCGCATCCCCATCCCGCATCCCGATCCCGCATCCCGATCCCGCATCCCGATCCCGCATCCCCATCCCGCATCCCCATCCCGCATCCCCATCCCGCATCCCCATCCCGCATCCCCATCCCGCATCCCCATCCCGCATCCCCATCCCCATCCCCATCCCGCATCCCGGCGGCGCGGTGCGGTGCGGTGCAGGCTGCGCGGCGGGGCCGGCCCGGTGCTGCCGCGGCCCCGGGGGGCTCTGCCCGCCCGCCTCGGCGCAGACCCCGGCGCCCGGCCCGCGGCGGACGCGGCGCTCGCTCTGCATTTACCCGCTTTGACTCTTTCTCCATTTACCAATATCTTTTTGACTTGCAGGGGGACTTTGTAGATAGAGGTTACTATAGTCTTGAGACTTTCACTTACCTCCTTGCACTAAAAGCTAAGTGGCCCGATCGTATCACACTGTTACGAGGCAATCATGAAAGCAGGCAGATAACACAAGTGTATGGATTTTACGGTAAGTCTTGGTCCAGACGGTTTCTGAACGGGGGTTAGTGTGTCATAAACAGCATCTTTCCCCGGGGGAAACCTCTTACAGACTGCGGCGCTGCGCGGGGCTCCCCGGGGGCCGGGCGGGAGGGGGGCTGGGGACCACTCGCGCGTTACCGTTCGTTAGCGTGGTCGTCGCGTTGGTCAAGTAGAACGTGTTTTAGTCCAGATCTCGCCGCTCCTTTCCTCCAGCGAGCGGGTTTTCTCTTTGTTTTTTTGGTGCCTCGTTCAGTTTTAGAGACGGAGCGTGTTTTTTGACGCGGAGCGCGCTTCGGTGTCTTGTCACGAAAGGTCCCACGCGAAGTCGCGCTGTCGCTGTAATTCCCCTTGAGTTTTGGTGTCACTGAAAATCCGCGTCACGCGCGGAGTTTGCGGCGGAAGCCACTCACGGTCAACAGCGAGCGCGCGGGGAAATGCCACTGGCAAGAAATAAGCGGCAGAACAACCGTTTGCAAAACTGAGGGAATGAAATTTTTGGGAACTTCTTTATTGTTGGGTGAGGCTTTGATAAAACCTGAGGAAATCCTGGAAAGCATCTGACACCCGCCCCAGAGAGCGATGCCTGTAACATACTTTTTTTTTGGATAATGTGTCAATAAGAGCAAGTACGAGTGCTCACGGGTTGCTTGAGAGACGCCTGCCCTCAGGTTTATTGCTGCGTTGGTGCAGCTTTAAACGAAGCGACCGTAGGTGCCGTTGGTGGTAAGAGAATCTTCCACCAGCCCTGGTCGGGCCGTGCGTTCTGCCTCAACTCTCCTGCATCACGTTCGCTGCTGTAAGCGCCGGGCCAGTAGCGAAGCCGTCGCACGAGCCCCCGTTGTGCCGGCACGGCCGGCCCGCGCTCCGGGGAGGGGTTTGTTCCACACCTGACCCCGTTCTGCTCTAAGTGTTTGCGTCTGATCTTACTGTCCGATTGTCTTCTGAGCCATTAAGAAGAAAAAAATTCTGTTTAACAGATGAGTGCCAAACCAAATATGGAAACGCTAATGCTTGGAGATACTGTACCAAAGTCTTTGACATGCTCACAATAGCTGCTGTAAGTGTAAACGCTACATTACAAAAATGCAAGTCTAAACGTGGCTGCTAGGACTGGTGACCTGTAAGGGTCACGCTGGCAGCGTTCTGGGCTGGGTTAAATTACTGAGTATTTCGCACACGTGTTTTTTTTTCCTCCAGTTAATAGACGAGCAGATTCTCTGTGTGCATGGCGGCCTCTCTCCGGACATCAAGACACTCGATCAAATTCGAACCATTGAACGTAATCAAGAAATTCCTCACAAAGGCGCCTTCTGCGACCTCGTTTGGTCTGACCCCGAAGACGTCGATACGTGGGCGATCAGTCCGCGAGGAGCAGGCTGGCTCTTCGGTGCGAAGGTGACGAATGAGGTAACGATGCCGTTGCGTGCGCCATAAAGTAACCGCAGGTGTGAGAGAACTGGAAGCGTCCAGCTCAGTTTGATGGTTACCTCAGCGACACGTGGACTGAGGGCGCCGCGAGACGACGAGCTTTCCTTGTCAGGCCACTGCGAGTAGGTCGCGGCGGTAGAGAAGGTTCGCTCAAGCCAACTTGAAAAAAACGAGCCATTTGAACGTCAGAGCATAAACGCAGCTGCCGGGTGTGAGAGTACTGATCTTGCTTTGGAAAAGTATAACGCAGTGGGACTGACCAGGATCACTAGGGTTTGCGCAGAATATTTTTCTGAGGATTTAGGAGAAAAAAAATGCTGTACCATTTTCTTAACAATCCTTAATTTTTCACAGTCTGGTTTGGGTTGGAAGGGACCTCAAAGCCCCCCCAGTGCCACCCCCTGCCCCGGGCAGGGCCCCCTTCCCCCAGCCCAGGGGGCTCCCAGCCCCGTCCAACCTGGCCTTGAACCCTTCCAGGGAGGGGGCAGCCACAGCTGCTCTGGGCACCCGGGGCCAGCGCCTCACCCCCTCCACAGGGAAGGATTTCTGCCTTAGATCTCACCTAAATCTGCCCTCGGTCAGTTTAAAACCATTCCTCCTCATCCCATCCCCACGCCCCTGACCCAGAGCCTCCCCCACCTTCCCTTCCCCCCCTTTAAGCCCTGGGAGGCCGCTCGAAGGGCTCCCCGGAGCCTTCTCTTCCCCAGGCTGAACCCCCCCAGCTCTCTCAGCCCATTCATTACTTCAGAGGAGTGAGCAGATCCCTGGAGCCGACCCTCGCTCCCCGTCCCGGGTGGGAACGTCCCCGTGGGCCCCACATCCTCGTGGGGGGCACAGACCAGGGCATCGCGCCCCTCGCCTGCATCCCAGAGGCTTTTCTCACTGCTCAGGTCTCAAAACCCGAGTGGTTTCTCAGAGCACTGGGTGGAAGAGCTGCTCGTTAATCCCTTCGTGGCCGGCGCGTGCGGGGGCGTAGCTGGGAGGTGGCTGCTGTGTGGGCAGCACCGGGCAGCTGCTCAAACTCACCTTCCTTTTTCCTTTCACAGTTTGTTCACATCAACAACTTAAAACTCATCTGCAGAGCGCACCAGCTTGTTCACGAGGGCTATAAATTCATGTTTGATGAGAAATTGGTAACGGTATGGTCTGCTCCAAATTACTGCTACCGGTGTGGAAACATTGCGTCAATCATGGTCTTTAAAGATGTAAATACAAGAGAACCAAAGTTATTCCGTGCAGTTCCAGATTCAGAACGTGTAATTCCTCCTCGAACAACCACACCGTATTTCCTCTGAGACCTTTCCCCGCCTGCTGTCTCCCTCTTCCTTGTACTGTCCCTTTACAATATACTTTTTATTGAGCACTTTGCTGCTGAAATGCTGCCTCTTGCCTTTTTTATTTTTAAATTATCTAAATTTATTGTGTATTATTGTGTCTGTAGCAAGTGGTTGTTTTGGTTTTTTTTTTTTTTTTCCCCTCCCTCTCCTAGATTAATTTCAGAGTATTTGTAACATGTCCTTGAAATTTATACTACTGCATGTAGTTCTTGCCTATTTCTGGGTTTAGATGAAACGTTTTCCTTTTAACAATCGTGATCCCCGGGAAGCAGCTCGGTCCCAGTGTGTTATGCAGCTTTTTGTTTGGTAAGTTTTAAGAAATTTCAGCAGCAAAGTCAGTACCCCGTGTGCGCGATGGGACTGTGACTGCCTGGTGTTGTGTACGCGCCCGCGGCGTAGAACCGAGTCCTCCTCCTCCTCCTCACGGCTTGTTTTAAGTGGATGACAATAAAGTGGTCAGAAGGGCTGTTCTCCCCCTCCCCGCCCCCCCCCCCCCCTTTGTTTTGTTTTTCTGAGGATTCCAAGTGAAAAACACACGAACCTGCTACAGCGACTGAATTTGTACATTAAAATAATTGTTCTGATTTTTTTCAGACAGTCTGTATTTTTAATAAAGTCGTACCTTGCGTGAGCCCCGAGGGCGGATAAACCTTCCTTCCCCCCCCCCCCCCCCCCCCCGGTGCCTGTCACCCCGGGCGGGCGGGGCCGCTTCCGCTTCCGCGGGCGGGTTGGGGTTCCGGGGGCGGGGCCGCGCTCCGGTTCCGGTTCCGGCGGGGCCGGCGGCATGGCGCGGAGCACCCTCTCCTCCCGCTTCCGCCGCCTCGACATCGACCAGTACGACGAGAACCGGTTCGTGGAGGAGCCGGAGGAGGCGGCGGCGGCCGAGCCCGACGCCGGCCCCGAGGTGGAGGCGCTGCTGAGGCAGTATCCTTTGGGGGGGGGGGGGGCCCCGAGCGCACCCCCGGCCCGGGGAGGGGGGGCCCCGGGGGGCGGGCGGCGGGGCCGGGCCGGTTCGAGTCCTTGACCGCTGGACCGCAGAGGGGACGCGCTCCGAGCGTTCCACAGCGCCCTGCGCAGCTCTCCCGCCCACGCCAGGAGCCAGGCGATGAAGGTAACCGCGCTCCCCGCGGCCCGGCCCCCCCCCCGGTCGCCCCCCGCCTCCCCCGTGATTCTCCCCCCCCCTTGTCTCCGCAGGAGCAGGCCCAGGGGACGATGCTCAAAGTCCTCACGTCTTTTAAAAGCAGCGAAATAGAGCAAGCAGTGAATTCCTTAGACAGAAACGGCGTTGACTTGTTAATGAAGTACATTTATAAAGGATTTGAAAAGCCAACAGAAAATAGCAGTGCAATATTACTCCAGTGGCACGAAAAGGTACGTGTTTGGTGACCCCTCGTCTGCTTCCCCCGAGAGCCCCTGCAAGAGGAGGGGGCTCATCCCCGAGGAGCACAGGGACTGGCTTCTCCCTCTGTCTTTGGTCTCTTTGAGCTTCTTGCCTGTATTTCAAACCTTACTCCCAGCCGGGGGGGAGCGGTGAGACTCGTGGCAGGGCAGCGAAGGAGGGAGCTCCGCGTCCAGCCAGGGCTTTTGTAGCCGAGAACGCGGCCGAGGGCTGCGCGGGCTGGCGCGGGGCTGGCAGTTTTGTCAGCCCGGTGCTGCTAGCCGCGTACGTGACACGGCTGAGTAACAACAGGGTTTAGCAAACCGGTTTGGTTTGTCCGGGAGAGGCTTCCGAGATCTCCAGAGAGATTCCCCTGGGCTCCCGAGTGGTCGTCTCGTGTTTCTGCGAAACGCGGGGTGGGAGGTGGGGGGGTGGGGTGTGATCCTCAGCGGCTGCTGAGCGCGGAGCAGCTGCTGGCCAGGCAGGAATCCAAGAGAAACCTGCCCCGGCCGCGGGGGCTTGAGCCGCAGCGCTGCCCGGCAGTGCTCCTCCCAGGAAAAACGATCCCGAGGAACGCTGCAGCTCCCTGCAGCCTCCCGCTAGTGCCGCTGCCCTTGTCACGAGTGCAGGGTTTTTTTTTTTTTCCTGTGATACACAAAGGCAGAACTTGTGTGGGGTGACTCCAGCTGCCACCGGCTCTGCAGAACCTTGACGGGAGGAAGAGGGAATTTCTCAGGACAGCAAACACCACGTTTCTGCTTTGGTTTTCTTTCTTTTTTTTTTTTTTTTTTTTTCCCCTCTTGTTCTTTTCACTGGCGACTGTTCTCAGGTAAGCACAGGTGGGTGCTCCCAGCGCCTAACGTTACACAACACCACCCTGACTGGAAAGGTGACCGTGCTCGCAGCGTGTAGGCGCATGTGAAGCATCTCGTCCTCTTCCTTTGGAAAGGAACCAGGCAGGTCTGCAGTCGGCTGGGCAGGGCTCAAAGCCTCCTCGTGTTCTGCCCTTCGGCACTCGCGGGGAGGCGAGGGGCCGGCCGGGCGGCCGTGCCGGTCTGTCCCCGGGGAAGCGCTGGCGCCTCGGCGACGCTGGCCCGCGCGGGCGCTGCTCCGGCTGAGCGCCCGGCGCTCTCCCTTTCCTCACGACAGCGAGGTGCCTCGTCCTGTCGGTCGTTGTGCTCGTTTCGTACACTGCAACACCCAGCAGGCTGTCTCTGAGTTCTGTCTGCGAAGCAAACGCGCTGCCTTTTAAGCAGTCAGCTTTAATATTTATTTTTTCATAATAATCACGTCCGTCGGCTTCTAGACTTTAGGATGCGTTATTTACATCGAGGGATGCAAATGAGACTGAAATGAGCCTTTTCTCCTTTCCCATTCGGGATAGGAGAGGTGAGACGCTCTGCATCATCAGTAACATGCCACACTGGTATCCTCTGGATCCAAAAGATGGTTAGACTTTGGAGAATCTAATTTTCCCTTCAGATTTTGCGGTGCCTGAGTTACTAAGTGACTGTGTTCGGTGTCGTCTGCCCTTTGGTTGCTTGGTTCTTGTCTCACGGAGCACATTTGTAGAGCATTACTGTCTATGTACTGCAGTAATCCGAGTCAAAGATGACCCTCATCTGTATTTACAGAGGGGAAGTGAGGCACAAGCTTCCCAAGATGGGAAGGAGCAAAGGTCTGAGTTCAGGTCTGAGCCCCCCCACTGGCCTTTTAACTTTTAATCGGCCCAAGGCACTGGGAACACACCGGGGCTGGAGCGTGGGGCTTGGCCCCGGGGGAGGAGGAGGCACCGGCCGAGGCGGAACAGCCCCACAAGTGCAGCTCCTGTCCCGAGCGGCGGTGGGGGCCCGGGCTGCGCGAGGCCACACAGGGTCACCCCGGAAATCTGGCACCGCCTGGCACTGTGTAGTACCCAAATGAAATGACTTACAATGCCTTTACTGTCCGCACGTGCTAGAGAAAATGTAGATTTTTCACCAGTTAATCTTTTTGAAGATTTGAGAGCAAAAAAGGGGTAGAGCGAGGTGGAACAGCCCAACCCGCCAGTGTGTGCAAAGTAAGTTTTTGGAGAAGAGCCCCAGACTCTTCTGTTGTTAAACACTTGTTTGTTCTTCTAAAGATGCTTTTTGCGTGTGCCGCAGCGGGTGGCTCGCATGATGCGGGGACTGTGTAACCTCTCTCCTTTCCCGCCCCACAGGCACTAGCAGTAGGTGGACTGGGCTCCATAGTAAGAGTTCTCACAGCAAGAAAGACTGTTTAAAAGACTATTAACTGGAGCCAAGACAACGCTCAGTTCTGGACTTGGAAGAAGGAATTAGCTGACGTGACACTGGTCCCTCCTTATTAGAGATTGCAATCTACTGAAATACTATGGAAACCTCCTCTTGGAATGCTTTTAACCTTAAAGGTGGGGGAAGAGTATTCCTGCATATTCTGACTATCAAGTACAGGAGCCAAGACATTCTCCTGATCCCTTCTTTAAAAGGCAGAGAGAAGGCACGGCACGCTCCTGCCTCCTGTTACTGTAAGTGAACAGGTATTTTCAGATGCTGCTTTATCCGAGTGTGGTGAGCCAAGATCCCGCGTGTGCTGCTGATTTGAGAGGGAGCTGTGTCCTGGGCAGGTGCCAGATCCGACAGCCTACGGGCGGGAGGAGTGCTTATTAGAATGGCCAAGGGATGAGCTGGACTAAGGGGTTGGTTTCAATGTAAAGTGCCTGCTGCATCAATAAAGTTCTTGGATCACGAGTTAAGTATTTTTCACTAAATTCCAAGTCTGACACTTACTCAAAAGCAGGCCAGCATTATACCGCTTCTAAGCTAAGTGTTCACCTTTGTATGAAGCGTAGAATTTGTCCTCACGTGGACCTATGTTACCTGTAGACAGCAAGACCAAGCTCAGCTATTCCAATCACGGCATGGAAGATGCAGTAAATACAATATCTAATCACCTGTGGTTTGAGTTTTAGATTCGTGTCCATCCTAGAAAGTCAAGAAAATACTTCAGAAGTTACTGTTTAGGTATTAGTGGATCCTCACCTGGTGGAGGACTGCAGCAGGGCAGCAGCAGCTGCTGGGTGCCAGTCGGCGCGCGCAGGTGGTTGAGCCCTGATGTGCCCAGGACCAAGGACCCAACTGCTCCCACCCTCGCAGCCCCCCGCCAGCTCTGCTCAGGGCTGCCCTGCCCCCTCCCCTTGCGTTTTTATCAGCTGCCAAAAGTGCAGCTGCAGCAGCAGCCGCTGGCCCTGGCCAGAAGCGCTCTGCATTCCTCCTAACAGCCCCGTGAGACAGACAGGCCTTAATTACAGAGCTGACACACCCATTCTCCCGGGGGCAGAAGGTGGGGTTTGTTTCATTGCTTTGCAATTCTCTCTCCATTTTAAATAGCTACAGCAGCCCCCCCCCCCCCCCCCGGAGATCACCAGAACTATAAAGAGAAAGAAATCAGGATGAGGGTTTTGATCCAAAATGTATTGCACCACAAATTTCATAGTGTTTCATAATACAATCCATATTTACAGCAGAGAAGGAAAGAAGTCCAATGGCCATAGAAAGGATTATGTATACCACTGTTCTTATACAAGGGAAAGTGCATTAGCTTTTTAATATATGTATACACACCATTCTTGCTCTGACATCTAAAGAAAATTCAACACTTACACTAGCTTGTGGTAAGTTGATCCTGTATGAGCTTTGGGATCTTAAACTGAAGTTGTGTTAGACTATATATTCACGCAAGATTTTATTTTGTCACTCTCTACTCCAGGCTGGCTGTACTGCTTTTCTTACTGTTCAGCAGTAACCTTTCAAGCCAGGATCAACATAAACCGATTAGTCATTCAGCAGGCATCAGCGGGAGTAGAGGGAATCCTGTCCCCTGGCCTCGGGTCCCACAGAAATAGTTCTACAGGGAAAGACCTTGGAAAATAAAATCTTCCCAGAACCAGTAGGGTTATCCTGCCCCCGCTTTGTTTCAGTAGAGAAACAATTGACACAAATCTACTTTTTGATTGTCTATTTTCATACGAGAGCAGAGTTGTGCTCCTCCCACAAACTTCTCCAGGCTATCGTTAAGTGCCATCGATCAGGTTACTAAAGACTGGACAAGCTTTAGTGTACTAAAAAAATCCTGCTGGTTTTCTTAACTTCAAATAAATATAACCTAGCTGTAAACTGAGGCGTGTCACTTGTGCCAGAGTACTGCGAGTACCTGTGTCTGGTACCCAGGGAGGCCAGCTCGGGTACAGATTTGCAGCACAGTCACCGCTCTGGTGACCGACCTCAGGGGGGAGGACACTCAGCTTTCCCGGGGCCCGAGTGCGCAGCTCGCGTGCGGTAACTCTGCATCTCGGCTGCCACCACGAAGGTCGTTCAGACCCTGTTAGCAAAGCAAAGTTAAAAACCTGAACAGTCACTGCATCTCCACTAGAGGACAGATCGCATTTGCTCGAATGGATTTCATAAAAAGCATCGTTAGTAACACAAACCTCATCGTAAGAGGATTACCAGAGCTACAGCCTGCTCACTGAACGCCACGCACGTGGAGTTCTTTGAAAATACATTCCATTTTTAAGAAGCCAGACTGACTGCTGCTTCCCATTTCCACCTACATTTCGCAGTGGTTTTAGTAACTATGAGCAAAATTGTGCTTCCACTTTGTGAGGCAAGTGCCACCTTGGTCCCCTTAAGGGGAAAAGAAAGCGAGCTGCTGAAACCAAGATTTATTCATTAAGAGTTGAGGGCTTTGTTTTTGAGGGCAAAATTCATGAGCAGCATTTCTTTTGTAGTTAGGACACAGTTAACAGCCCACTACACGTTCATAACAGTTTTTAAGCATCAGAATTTGAAGTACAGAAAACCACAACCAAAGAGGCAGATACTGGCTCTGAAGATTTGTTGCAAGCAGACTTGGAAGCAAAAAAAATAAAAGTCAAATTGTTTAGTACCAATATTCTTCACCCTTTGTCACTAGATTATTATTATTTTATTTTTCTTAAATAAAAGGTATTCTCAGTGTGACTTTACAATACCTGGAACTCAGCTTTAAAAATTTAAAATGGTTTACTACCCCTTCTTCCCAATGCTAACAACCTATGGTACACGCTAATAGATTAGTTTTAAAGGCGACTGAGTATTAGGTACTATAATTAAGACCATTTAAAATATTATTTTTCTTTAAGAAAAGTAAAATCAGACAACTCTAAAGTTGTGCTCTCAAATTAAATAATCATCATCAACATGCAGCCTTCAGGACTGCAGGCCAGGATAGATGCACCTTAAATTACACAGTGATATGAAAAAACGCGAACTATTAGTTATGTCAGTATAACAAGGCAAGGCAGATTTCTTTTTTGGTTAAAGCTCCTGCTCCTGTTCTTTGAAAGGCTTTTCAAACCGTCAAAACTCAGTACAGTGCTGCCAACATCTTTTTTTTTCATTGCTTGCTTTCCACAGCGAGACAAGGAAGCTTTACTGTGCCTGGAGTTACTCAACTCTGGCACTCTTAACACAAGCTGGAGTCGCCACCATAACAGATGCACGTGTTAGAAGCTTGAACTGCCAGCACCGGTATTAGTGAGGTGAACATTACCCTTTGGTGCCAAGGAAACGAGACCGATGAGCGCAAGGAGCTGACTACCACTCAGAGACCATCGGGGCCGAGGCCCCCAATCCAACCCGCAAGGGGCGTTTCAGTTTGTAGTGAAAACTTCTCCTTGCACAGTATTAGTTTTGTAAACAGTGTCAAAAGTTCTTGTACAAAATACTGCAATGACAGTGATTAAGACACACCTGAATTAGTGTGTTCAGCGTTCTTTTCACAGAAAAAAGTGGCTAGATGCTGACTGCCCGTTTTCAGGTTCCCTTAAGGCCACAATGTCCTTGGGCTTGAGATAGACGGCCGGATACTGCCCTTAGGAGATGGCTTTGACCCAAACCATGACATCTAGGACAAGAAAGCACAACACACATTATGCTAGGTTCACACTTGTAAGAAGTTGAAGATCTGAAAGAGTGTAATACACAGGCGTCTCCCCATCATTTGATGGAAAGAACTGTTTGTAAAACAGAACGCTAGACACTTCAGACTGAAGAAGCAGTGTCACCCAACCCAGTCTGAAGAAACAGCATCCATTTTCCACAAGTGAAGATGACTGAAGATTACACTTGCATATATTCCTTTAAAATAAGGACGGACTACAACTCTGCAGTCATTTGAACACAGGACCCTCAGTCAGTCTAGTACTGAACTGTTCCCTGGAGAAGATGGTGAGGAAATCTTCAGCTGCAACCGCCTGCGGACTGAACACGTCCAGCCTAGGGCAGAGACGAATGCAGGCGGCGGAAGGAACCGAGGCAGCACTCGTCCATGACCATTCACTAATAACCACACAGCCAGGGCCAGGCAGATCCTCCACGCGAAGCACAGACAGATGGAGGTGTCTAAGCCCAACACCAAAACGACAAACCAAGAATTCGGCTTCCTGCTTTTAAACATTTGACTACTCCAGCAAGGAGCTTCCAGCTCCCCTCACGGACTGAGGCTGCTGGGCAGAGCTGTGCTGTCACTCCTCCTCTGCAGCGCTGGAAAGTCACTAGTCACTATTTCCCTCACTGAAAGCACAATTTCCAACATGTAACGTGATTAGCTAACATTTTAATAATAAATTGCATTTGTTATTGTAGCTAACATTTGGAAAAGGTACTTTTCATGATCTCCCAGCAACTAGGAACTTTCACTCCATCTGCTGCGAGTCTCATTAAAGACTGCAAGTGGAACAGAACCCTTACCTTGTACTCCAGAGTTTCTTTAAGCATGTTTTCCTCCTCTTGTGAAAAATTCAGTAACACAGATACAGCTTTAATTAGATGGAATGCCTGAAAGAAACCACAGTATTTTGTCAGCTATGACGCTCTCAGGCTCCACATTCTGGACTATGGGGCAGCACAGTTTTTCTGTAGGTTTGAGAACAGACTTTTTAGTTACAGCTGGGAAGAGCAGACCAGCAGTGTTCCATTATCCCCAGTCCCAACAGACTGGGATGGCCTGAATCTTATTTCTTCTGTTTGTGTTTCCTGGCTTTCTATTTTAAAGAATGGGTTTGCATATTTTGGGGAAAGAAGATAGATGGGGAGCCTAGTAAGTCAGAATAAAGAAGGTTGGCTCCTGTGGTGTTCTAGTTTTTTTTAACCTTTGAAAAGTTGATCAGACCAGACTGTAGGCAGGAAAGAATCATGCTGTTTTAAATACACACTTAAGTACATTAACTCTATAGTACTAATATTCTAAATGGGGCACACAATACACAGTTAGTAAAGGAGTCAAGCACTCAGGATACCATGGAGTTGCACAATTATTTCTCAATCTTACCCAGTGACTTGCAATTAAGCACAGAATACTGTTGGCATGTCTTTTTTACCTTTGACTTCCTTGACACAATATGGAGAACGTGAAGGAGCTCCAACTGCACAAGGAATTACCACCTAGAGACCAACAGCAAGTGGTTTATGTCTTTCTCTTCATTTTTTTTTGCTCTTAAATGTACATCCACTCTAACTGCATCCTCCACATGCTTTTTAGAGTGGTGCAGGGGGATGTCTCAAAGCTTGAGACCTTTAGCTTCCAGACATAACTACCTCTTAAAAATTCACACTTCCCTTTCATTTAGTTTACAATGAACTGTACTTCCAAACATATCGCTGTTTGCTATTTTGCTTCATTGTGCTGAATCAGTCAACAACTTTTAAAGTGTAGAAGTATGGAATTGGCCTAGAATTGTCCTTAGCAGGTAACAGGTGGCAGTTTCTACAGAAAGACTTAGAAAGAGAAGGTAAGTGTATATCTTTACCTCAGACTCCCGGCAGGACATGAATTTTAGTACAACATGTTTAAGATATTCAAAGTTTATCTCCCTTGAGTCATTTAAATCAGAGTTGTTTGTGACAGTCACAGAAGCATTAGGCACTTCAGAATTTGCTTTTTCACGTACTTCAGGTATCTCACTGTCAGGCCTTATTTTCTAGAAGAAAAAGAGAAGGACACTGTAGACTGTCAGCTTGACACCGGGAGAGGATCCTGGTCCAAGACACCTAACGCAGAGGGCTTGTATCCACAGGGCAGGTACAACCTGGGCACCAACAGGACAAGCTCCTCATCCTTCACAGGATCGCAGCAGAGAAGTGTCTTCACCCCTCCCTAGGCTCCGGGACAGAAGCAGAAGCTAGTTGCTGTTAGCATTACATGTACGTTACCCAAACCAGCATGGAATTGGGTCCATGGTGGAAACTATCACCTGGTAATTTTTTTTAACCATTAACCTGCTCTGTGCCTTTCAAACATGGGCTTTCTCCAAAACTGTTGTGAGGCTCAGAAGAAAAATAACAATTTTTAAACCTCTTATTTTTTTTTTAAAATAGAAGAATTTTTTCTTGGAGAGGAAAACTACTGTAAGAGGGATTATAGGGGAGCTTTCCCTGGGGCAGGTATCACTCCCATGGTAAAACTTAGCTGAATGGCAGCTAAGTAGCAAACAAACCTCAGTTGTTCCCTCTACAGAAATGTATTAAATGCCCAAGATTACCAAACACACAGAGTCTTCTGTAGCTAAAATTTTCTGTTGCAAGGGCTGAGTGGCGATGGCTACCCGTCACACCATCCATTCAACAAATGATCCAGAATAACGTACTTCCTTAATTTAAGGGTTTACTGGTCTGCCTGCAAGCACAAGAAAACTGCAGACATCCCTCATAAAAAAACCTACACTCTGGCTCACAGTCAAAGCCTTTGGAATTAGTAGTGCAAGTAACTGCCAGTAAGTGCTAGCTGAAGAGACTGAAAAAAACATAACCCTTACCAACTCTTTCTGGAGTGTTTTCTTGAGTTCTGTCATTCTTTGCTGTAGCTGCTTTATCATCTGTAAGCACAGCAAAGGACAGTGTTAATGCAGTATTCCTTGTGAGGACACATTTTGACCCACAGGTATCTGGAAAAACCCATGACAAACAAGTGTAATGAATGAAACAATCATTTAACAATGCTGACAGCTCTGAAGAAGCAACCTCAATGTCTTGCCTTTCTAGCTGCACACATTAGCAGGCACATGATGGCACAGTGGAAGTGAACTGAATTCACACAAAAGGGCTCTGCAGGAAAGCTGTAAACTGTATCATTTGGTGCATCTTTCCTCCAAAATAGATAAGGATTCCTACAATGCTGGCTGCAGTTTTTATCCACTGTTGCTAGATCCTTGTACAATCCAGAGGGGGAAAAAAAAAAATTATTCACAAAATACTGGATTCAAATTGGATCATTTTGGTAAGTCTGTCCTCTTAAGGCTGCAGTATGGGCAGCACCAATTATTCAGCTTCCTAATTAAAAGCAGAAAAACTAACAGCTGTTTCTGCTGTTTCTTTTCACCTTATTTTTCTCAGCAATTTGCTGTTCCAGCTCTCTATTATCCTTCTGAAGTTGAATGACGTCTGCAGCTGCTACCTCTCCATTCTGTTCCACCCCATGGTTCTCTGGAGAATGAAAGTGCTTGTTGTTCAAGGCTCTCATTGATTCCTCTAGTTCTGAAACCTATAAAAATTCAAAGAGTGAATTGGAGAGATATCGTGACATTTACAGCCCATGAACACTCCCCTCAGGGAGAAAGTGAGACTTCTTGGTTGTTTTTTGCTGGTGGTCGTTGCTTTTTTAAACCAGAAAGCAGTAATGGCAATCTAGTTGGCTACATCTCTCACTGGCCTGCTTATTACTTCTGGGTCTCTGTCTCATTGGTTTCACAATGGTTCTTTCAAGACATTTTATGAATCAAATAAAATAAGGGGTTATCTTTCACAAACCAGTCACAGATTTGACAAGAAACAGCTTTCTTTAGGAAAACAGGAACAACAAATAATGGTAATCTACAGTGCTGGTGTTTCAGGTCACGTGCAAAGAGTGAGTGACCAGCTCCAAGGACGTATCACCAGGCGTGACAGAACTGGGGGTCTCTTGCAAACCTGCTTGTTTTCCTGAGAAGTCTGAGCAGATCACATTTGCAACTGCACTTACATGTTTCTCATGTTCCCTGGCCAAGAGGCACTCCTGGATCTGCAACTTCAATTCATCAACTTCCTTTCTTGCCATTTCTTCTTTCTCCAGGGCTTGGCTATTACTTGCCTCTATGTCAGTCTGCAGCTGACGCATTTGCAGCAAGACAGCTTCATGATCTGAGAAAGGAGAGACCTGCTTAGTATCAGTCTACTGAATCAAATGGGAGTTTCCAATTATGTTTGTCATATGAAGCAAGTTACAGTGACAGTAAATCCTGACCTTTTTGCCTTGCTCTGTCATGAAGACAGAAAGACAGTGGAATTTAAGCCACCCAAGCTCACATGCGTGTTTTTGCAAAGGAGCAGCCCAGCTGAAAGTCAGGGTGATTTTACCACTTAATTACCAATTAGACCTGCTCTAAAAGATCCCCACCAGAAGTCTGTGTGACTCGTGCTGTGACTGCACAGGAACACTCGGGGCTGAGCTGGGAGTGGCTCGCTGGCACAAACGGCTGCCGACACGCGGCGGTGGTGCAACACCCGGCTGCCGTTTTGTTCCCTTTCTAAATAATGGCAACACACAAGAGAAATGCACCGGGGTTAGGAACTGAACGAAGACAACTGCACTTCATTTTTTAGTATGACTGTGCAATATCAGTTTGCAGCTGCTCTTTAAGAATGTAAATAATCTTTCAAGCTAGGGCGGTTTGTAAAGTGGTGCAATGAAGTAGCAGCTTTTGATCCGTATAATTCATGTTTTGTCCAAAACAGTTACTTACAAAAAGTACAGCGCCATTTGCCATTTTATGGAGTATAAACGTAAGACTTTAATTTTAAAAAGTGGCTTTGTTTTTAAGGACGCAGTAGAGAGACCGACCAATTGTTACTGAAGGATACAAGATTCTGAAAATTCTAATAGGTTAAATATGTAAGAGAAATCTAGAATTATTACAGTCTATCAGGCAAGTCCCAAACCAGAGACTGTAGTTCGATAAAGCTATCTGGGATACAGTAAGCTCGTTTGCTCTAACCTTGACTGAGTTGGTTTAGTTCTTCCTTCTGTTTTAGAAGCATAACAGATTTTTCATCAATCAGCTGCTCTTTTTCCTTTATTAAGGAAGCCAGATGTGAAACCTTCAAAGCAGGCAAACAAACAAACCGAAGTCATTAAAGATACAAAAACAGAAGAGGACATTAAAAGATTTCAACATATCTCAGAGGTTCAGAATTTATTTTTTTTTGTGGGAAGGACTGGAGGAGAATTCTTGTATCAGTGACAAAGGCAGTGGCTGGTATCTGCAACTGGCAGGGGCTGCCCGAGTCTGTGCTAGGCAATACAGCACCTCGAAAAAGCGGTTTGTGCAGCATTAGTGTTACAGATGGTGCTGTGTGGATGTCTGACCTATCCAGAGACTCACAGAAGGCATCACCTCTGCAATGCTGACCTCATTAAAAACCACTGAGGTCAGTGTGCTGTAGGGGCTCCACCACCCTTCTCTTCTGATACGCCCCGGGCCACAATTCCCGATGGCCTCGTGACCAGCAGGTGGCAGCTGTGAAACAGCCGCAGGGCAAAACCAGAGGTGGCCTTACACCCCTTTTTCTTACAGCTGGACCAAGCAAGCACAGATCTACAGCAGTCCCAGCAGAATAAAGAAACCAAATGATGGGACTAAATTCAGTCAAACTTGCTCAGCTGGCAGTTCCTAGCTTAAGCAAACACAAGCTCAGATTATCCACCACAACCATTTTTAATAAAAGAGTAGCAAACCAAGACCGCCTAGAATTTACATCTGGTTACTGGATATAATCCCCTCCCTACAAGGCAATTTACAATTTTAGAGCTGCTGTGCTTCAGATGGACAAAGATAGGATATAAGCACTGAAAGAACGACAAGAGAATGAATGGGTTTCTTTAAAAATCACCTGCCAACTCATCAATGGCCCAGGACTGCTGGCCCAGTAGGACTATGCACCATCTTACAGATTTAAAGGGCCCTGAAATACCAGTCACCTTCATTCTGAGCTACTACCTGGTCTTCCTTTCAGCTGTTGATATTCAACTCCCAAGCCTTGCTACAATTCTTAAGCCACAAACTTATGAATATCCCTAGCTTTGCAGTCAGCAGCAGTTTACGTTCTTCCAATGGCGCAATTCACCTAAGTTGATTACATTCTTATGTTGGCATTTATACAGACACCCTGAAGTTTCAAGTTTACTGAGGCAACCACTGCTGTCTTGCACGCTAAGGATATGATTCTGATTAATGTTCCTGCCTGTTATGATAATTAAGTCCAAACCTATTCTGGTCTGTGCAAGGTAGGGAGCACCCAAACATATTCTAGACTGTGGGTATTAGCCAACCTGCTGTTGTAATTCTTCTCTCTGTTTTCGTGTTTCTTCCAATGCTTTGGCAATTTCAATGCTGACAGTCTCTCTGCTGCTCAATTCATTCTGCAAACCAAAAGTAATTCAGAGGTTACTTGAGACAACTAAAATTAAGTCAGTCTCTCGTCTTTAAACCCAAATCTATCACCAGCTAGAACCTATGGGTGTTCTGACACACCATGGTTTACTCTTCCAAATGAGAGTTACTGTTTTGTTTTACTGCACTGCAGATAGCATATCTGCATATGTAAGAGCAACACAGAACTGATGTAAGAGGCCAAACATATCCAATGCTAAAAAGATCTTTTAGCTTGAAGTCTGCAATACAAACAAGTAGCTCCTTCCTACAACTGACCTTTCTTCCAACTATGCATCTAAGAGTAGCTACAGAAAAAAATTTTCAACAATCTAAAATTACAGTCAAAAGACTGAGCTGTAAATACCTAACCAACTTAAGTTTTTAACTCGTTTTGAATGCTATGAGTGGAATTTGATGTTGAGCTATTCTGTATTCATTACTGCTAACAGGATTTAAAAGCTCTTCGTGCCTGACAATACAGGAATGTGTTATTTCTGCCTGATTTAGGCAGACCCAAGCATTCTGTTTCAGAAAGGATCAGCCATTTGTAGTAACACTCCTCACATGCCTATCTACTGAGTACCAAAGATGATTTCCAGCTGTAAGCACATGCAACCTGAATGTAACTTCACTCCAAGTACTGAGAACGCAATACACTTTGCCATTAACTGTTTCTCAAACTTGGCTCTGCATTTAACCAATGTCACTAATCAGTTAAGCCCTTACCTTCAGCCTGTTCAATTCAGACTCTTGTTTTTTTAAAGAACTCTCATACTCTTCTTTGCTTCCATTAAGATTTTCATTTTCCTTTTCCAGCTGGCTCTGTAAAATAAAGATTGCTTAAATACTAAGTACAATTATTCTAATGCTTTGTTTAAACAATTAAACACATCAAATGCTTTGTTCATATTTAGTTTCTCAAAGTATGAGATCTTCTAATGCTAGGAGCACTGAATAAGAACATTCAGACGACATGCAAGGTCTGCAAGCTGCGTTAACGTCATTTTCTGAAGACTCACATGGCCCACTGAGCAGTTTCTGTACTTACAATCTTGTGCTGAGTAGCTGTTTTATCAAATTCCCAAGCTGTTTCAAGAGCAGCAATTTGAGACTCCAGCCCAGTAACTTTCTGATCATACTGATGTTTCTCACTTAAAATCTGTTGCTGTAGTTTACTTCTTTCATCCTCTAGATCAGTTTGCTTAAGAGAAACGAAGAACACTGCGTTAATAAAACGGTATTTTGAAGCTCTGACCAGAATTCGACACCATTCCATGAGACGTATACTCAAACTGAAGCAACACTATTCCTTTGGTAGCAGTGTCATGTACTCATATACAGACACTAGTTTAGGAGATAAACAGCAATAAAACACTTGTATAACGAAACAAACCCAAAGTGAGTGTGTCTGGAGATGCTGAAGACTGAGCTGCTACTGGTCAGTGAAACAGCATGCAGGATACTCACCAACTTCTGGTTCTTCACATCCTGCTCAGCAGCTGCTTCTTCCCTCTTTTTCAATGCTTCTGTTGCAATCTGTAGTTTTTGTTCCAGTTCTTTATTCTAAAATACAACCATACGTTAAATTCCTTATCCATTGGCATCTACATTATTAGAAAAAACATACAGAATGTGGGATGACCTAGTAAGGGAAGGTAAACATTAAAACCTACTTGACACATGCTGCTTTTAAAAACTCTTCACCACACCACTACCCCCCAGCAATGCTTGCACTTCAGCTATTTGTTTCTTAGGATAGGGAAGATACGTATGAAAACTCTTACTTCATAACCTCTAGGCCCCTTCTCCACCACTGAAGGTGAGGAGATGACCAGAGACATTGATCATTCAGACTTCCCTTTCAACAGTAAACATGACGTGCAGTCCCACCTTTGGCTGAGAGCACAAGTGGGGTGAGGGGAGGAGGTATGGGGCATCAAGAAGCTGGAAACAGTCGGAATTTGTAGGGAGGTAACAACACACTTACCTGTGCTTCCAACCAGTTCACAGTCTCAGTGTGATGCGTTCTGTCTGTCAGTACCTGCTGCCTGGTTTCCTCCAGTTTCTGCTCAAGAGTAGCTTTCTGGAAATTATGTCGAGATGATGAACAGGAAGAAGGATGGACAAAGAGACAAGGTTTTTTTAGTGAAGATTTTTCTTTTTATTTCATTAATAAGGTCAAACTAAACTGGATCAGTTATTTTGATGTGCAATACAGCTTTGCTCTTGGGAACTAGCAAGTTTGATGCTACTGCATAGGGTCTCCATAGATCATGCTGCCCTGGGGATGACATCATTAAGAATGGGAAATTCACTGGCACCCTGTCACAATCCAGATGTAAACTCTAATCAGCAGCTAAGTCATAATTTTCTAACCCAGGCCAAGTTTAAGGGATCATAAAAAAGGTTTTTTTTAAAGCTTAATGTCTCCTGCATCACACAAATACAGAAAGAAGGCAAAACATTTGTTTCTTATGTTGGTTACTTTCCAAAATGTTTTACTACCCCTACACAGACTTTAAAGTGGCTCAAGTTTACTAAGCCAAGTTCTTTTATCGTAGCAACATAAAGTTCATGTGTCTTGTAGGCAAGCCTGACCAAGGAAAAGCATACCTTCCCTTGCTTCCCCAAGACTCAGCTGGGGAAACATTGCTCCAAGCTGATTCTGAACAGGAGCATCAGTGCTTGAGAAAGAGATTGAGAAGTAATGAGAGAAAGAGCATCAACCAAAGCTAAGTTATTTCTGTTTTCAGCTGTTTAACACTTCTGAGGCTCAAGCTTTCAACAGATTCACAAACAGAATGTTTTATATGTGCAAAACCAGTTCCCTTCCCTGTCCCAATGCTTTGCAAGTCATGATAATAGAAGATGAAGAACAAGGAAAAGTGTTCACTCTTCTCTGTGAAGATTAACCAATAAAGCTCTCAAGTTTTTCCACCTCCTGTGGGGATGTTAAAAAGCTGCTCTTTTGCTTCTAAGCAGTCAGATGTATTGCCTAAACAGACAATGCAGGAAGACCAGTAAAAACATCTGTGCAATATCTACATGAACAGGCCCAACACAGGTCACCTACACAATCCTGTCCAGCATAGTCAGCGTGCCAATATACACTGAAGGGACAAATGTGGCTGCCTTACATCACCACGTATTTTTGACATGTGCAAGAAGTAATGCACACTAAAAAAACGATCTCACTAAGAGTGCACTTTTAAGCAGTCTATAAACGTATAATTACCTCTTTGAGTAGCTCCTGCACATGTTCATCCCCTGACAGATTTCTTTCTAGCTTTTTTTCCAAGGAAGACACTTTTTCCTGCAGCTGTTCAGTAAGTTTATTCCTCTCAGCAACTTCAAGAGTCATCTGTGAGAACAAGAAATGACGGAATCTTTTTTGTAGTGAAGCTTTCAGCTAATCCATTGTGGTCTGATTTTTAAAAGTGCCATTAGAAAGAGAAAAGTCCTATCTGAAAAGACAATATAATGCTAAATGCTTTCTAGACACCAAATTTCAAACTCAGTGCTTTACCCAAATGAACACCTTCACACCAGCCAACAGCAGATGCATCCGAAAACACTTAACCTTTTGCTTGTGTTGTCCATATTCCAACTTCAGATTCATGCTCCACCTGTAACATTTCCAGTTTCTTCTCACAACCAGAACTGAAGAGGGTCCCAATACGGAGAGTCGGCCGAGTAACGACAATCATCCTGATGCGGCGACATGTCGTCCCCCTTCACTGCCCGAATCGCTGGGTTATATCCTTTGCACAGCAAGCACCCGCTGTTCACACGCCCCACACCCCTCAATTATTGGTCATGAGCAACTTATCACACACCCAAAGGGAAACTGTGACAGGCAAGCATCTTGCGGTTTGCTGCATACTTGTGCTTAGCGTAGCCAGATACATAGCTGGGAAAATTCCTCATTTATCTTTACTCAACAGATACAGTTCCTCACAACACAGCCCTTCAAGGTCATTCTCATAACACAGCTGTTGTTAGCAGTCTGATCTCAGGCCTGGATTGTCCAAACCTTGCAACAAAATATCGTGGCCATTCTCCGTCAGAAATTCTTCTACATATCCCCCTTTTTCTCTTTGGACAATCCAGACTTGATTCATGACCTTTGTCAGCCCTTTTCGTATTCATGAAATACAAAGACAGACAGCTAAAAATATAAGCAGTCAGTAAATAAGCAAGTGAAGGCCTTCTTTTAATAAGCTAGCTAACCATCCACTGATTACAAGACATTGCTGTGGTTGCTGATTTAAATCAAGTGTTAGAAACACATCGTATCCTGTTGACCCAAAACCTGTGTCTCCTCGAATGTTGGAAGGACCATTCAGAAGTGATTGATGCAAGGGATGTTTTGACTCTAAAGCAACAATTTGAGTAGTTTTACTACCTTTTGGAACGGTTACTGGTGGTTGTAATGCATATGCCATAATTTGGATTTGACCTGTGTAATCCGCATCAATGACACCAGGGAGCACAACAACACCTTGCTTTCCCGTGGACGACTGACCAATTAATAACCCACCCATTGGGGAATCTCTAGAAAACAAAGGTCCATATGCTGTGGTTGGTATAAGTGTCACAGAAGTACTGGTTAATGTGGTCTCTACTGCTGTTGCCACATCCACTCCGAGGCTTCCTGGGGTCTCTGGTGTGTGGTCGAGTAGGAAACCTGGGGGGTTGAGACCTGGACTTGTGTTGTCGCGTGAGGTCCCTTCGCGCTGCGCCTGCCGTTTCCCGACTTTCTGCAGGCCACAGTTGCATGAGTGTCTGTATTGCAGGTATGGCACCAAACAGGCTTGGTGCATCTACGTTTCCAATGACCTGTCTCACCACAATAGAACGTGCCCGTGGTCTGACTGCTTTTAGCCAGCTGCCTCATTGGCCGCCCTCCCCTACTTCTCAACGCAGCAGCCATCGCCGTTAATGCTCGATGAAAAGTTTCCTTCATGGCTGCCTAGAAAGCTGCAGCTTGGTTCGAGTGCTCAGCCCGAGATGTTAACAGCAACATGTCACCTACCCCCGATCCTTGTGGGAGTGTGGCTATTAGGTGCTTGGTGGTTGCATTACTACTGTCAAAAGCTAGTGCGCGGAACAACTGTGTCTGCATGCCCCCAGCGAGTTCCGGAGCATCTTTCAACGCCGCATGGAGTCGGTCGACGAATTGGCTAAATGGTTCAGTGGCCCCTGTCGCACCGTTACATACGATGGTGCTTTCTTCTTATCTGGTACCACTAACAATGCACGATGAGCCAAGGATTGTGACTGCTGGTGGACCGGAGTCGGCAGAGCTAATTGGGTGGCTGTTGTCAAATACTGTCCATCCCCAATTAGCATCTGAGCTGTCACTCCATATAGTGCATCTCCCTGTTGTCGGGGTACACTGGTTTCTGCTACCGCTAGTCTCTTCCACTCGCTTTCCCACAGCAAAAATTGTGATGGTGATAGAAGCAGTGATGCTATCTGCTTACCATTATTTGGACATAAAACATCAGCCGTAAAAATGAACTGTATAATGTTTCTCGCTGCCTCAGATCGTAGCCCATAAGTGGTCACAGTTTGTTTGGCCTGGTTCAAGATCTTCCAATCGTGGGGTTCCCAATCAGGTCCCCCATTCGTTGTCACTACCGGGCAGGCCAACGCCCCAGCAGCATGCCAGTCCCCTTCTAACAAGGCACCCCGAATCACCCCACTCCATCGGGGCTGAGCTAAAAGCGGAGCTGGTTCTGGTGAGGGTGACGGGCGCGGGTATGGCGGGGCTGCCGGCAGCGCTTCCTCTTCTTGTAGTTGTAAATGCAGAGTTCTGTTCTGTAGCTCAACTGCTGTAATTTTCATTCAAGCTCTCGGACTCTGTCCCTGTCCCTTACCGGTGTGTGACCCTGGTGCTTTAATTGGGACACAGCCGCCGTTTTTCTCTCCGACTCAGACGCTGACGCGCCGTCAGGGGCGGAACCATCCGAAGGGGGGGGGGGGGGAGGCGGGCGGAGTTTGGGGCGGCACGCCGCTCCCCCCTGGCGGGAGGGGTCAGGTGGGCCCGCCTCCTCGGCGGGGAGAGGCGCTGCTTCCGGGTTGTTGCCAGGCGCTGCACCGCGTTCCGCGGGCACTGCCCCCTGTCCCCCCGCGCCGCCTGATTCCTCTGCCGCTTCTTGCGCGGTGGAGCAAACAGGAACACTTGGTGACATGTCCTTAATAGAGCGGAGCTGCTGATTAACCCCGAAGAAGGTGGCTAATCGTGACGGACGGTTGGTTTCGGCAGGGACCGGTGGGGATGGTACAGCGCCGACAGCCACCACAGCAGCAGCGGCTACTTTCTGTTCTGCTGGCATCTCCCTCAGAGCTTTTATGATCGTTCGCCAGACCACCCCTTGCTGTCGTGCTTCACTGCCTTTACTGCCTCCAGTGATGGTCTCGTCCCACAATAAATCACCTACTTCGCACCATTCTTGCTCGCTGAATATCAACGAAGCATCGCTCATTCTTTCCCTTTTCTTTGCCCACTTCACTAAGTCACGGACATCTCCTTTTACTTTTTCACCTCTCTTAGAGAGCATACTAAGAAGCAGTCCTATTGCCGTGTCAAGTTCCATCACGGTCTTACCTCCTGGCAAGGGTCAGTCGGCCAGCTGACTTGGTTGCCCGCGTCTCCTTTTTGCGGCAATTCACTTGCTCGCCACTCTCCAGCTCCCAAATCGAAAGTTCATTCGATGCTGCGGTGCCTTCGATCCATATTTAAACGTCCAACTTCAGAGGCTATCCAGCGTCCTAGTCAATCTGAGGGTCCCTGTTCGGGCGCCAGATGAAGAGGGTCCCAATACGGAGAGTGGCCCAAGTAACGACAATCACCCTGATGCAGCTACGTGTCGTCCCCCTTCACTGCCCGAATCGCTGGGTTATATCCTTTGCACAGCAAGCACCCGCTGTTCACACGCCCCACACCCCTCAATTATTGGTCATAAGCAACTTATCACACACCCAAAGGGAAACTGTGACAGGCAAGCATCTTGCGGTTTGCTGCATACTTGCGCTTAGCGTAGCCAGATACATAGCTGGGAAAATTCCTCATTTATCTTTACTCAACAGATACAGTTCCTCACAACACAGCCCTTCAAGGTCATTCTCATAACACAGCTGTTGTTAGCAGTCTGATCTCAGGCCTGGATTGTCCAAACCTTGCAACAAAATATCGTGGCCATTCTCCGTCAGAAATTCTACACAGAAACAGCAACTTGAGCCTAAAAATTTTGAGAAATTACTTGCTTTGAAACCTAGATTTCTAAACACACGTGATATGTAATCTAACTTCTGCAGATAAGCAGCTCTTCGAATCAAATCTCACTTTAACTCAAACTTACGTTTTGCAAGTCTACAGAAAGCTGCTGAATGACAGTTTGTAGCTCCTGTTCTCTTAACTCCAGAGCAGTGATCTTGTTTTCTGCATTTGTCTCAGCTGTCATTAGTTCATCTCTTCACAAAAAGAGAATAAAAAAAAAATGACATACTATTCCAGGAAAATAATCTTTAGCAGATAGAAGTGACAGTTAAGCATTCAAACTACGAAAAGAAATCATAGCAAGCTTACAAAGCCCTAAACAAGTACTAGGTTAATTGGCTTGAAAAGAAATATAAACTTGGCATTTACATCCACATCAGCATACCAGAAGCAATTATTCAGTCACCTCACTACATCTATAAACTCTTCCAAAAAGACGTAACTGGGCGTGAAGGAAAAGTATGGGGGAAATGCACCCACTGCTCCTCACGGAACACTGTGTCCGTACCTCTGCGCCTCGAGCTCCAAGCACTGCTGCTGCAACTCCTCAAGATCTTTCCTCAGGCCCAAGGACTCGTTGCTTGCATCCTGAAGCACCTCTTTAGTGTGGGTTAGTTCTTGAGTGCATGCCTCTAGTTCCTGCTCTGTTTTTCTCAGAGATTCTTCCTTTTTCAAAAGCTGAGTATTAGAATGTTATTTTTGACAATACAGATGACCTGGTAATACTGATAAAGCCTTCTCACTGAAACTTGTCTTTTTTATTAAGTTATGAGCCGAATTAGAAATAATAAATAACTCCCAGAAAAGTCACTGTTGACACGAGCTATGTAATACTGTATGCATGTACCTACTGTTAGGATTTTGACACTGACCAACACAAGCATAAAGGATAAAAAAATTACTGCAGAGCTACCACTAACTTGGTATTCTGACAGTAGTTTTAGGAAAGACAAAAATACATTTAAAATAATCAGTTCTTACCATGTGCTTAACTTTGGCAATTTCCTGCTGTTGGAAGCCCTCCAGTTCATCAATTTCATCTCTTTTTTGAAAAAGGTTCAAACTCCGCTCCCTCATTTCTTGTAACTGCATTTCAAGCATTTTTTTTTCCTGATAAACCAACAAAAACAAAAAGAATCCAAGAATATCTGTATGCTCATTTCAAGTCAATTGGATTTCAATTAAACTCTCTGGGAAAGGAATCTTGTCTTGCAGCTATAAGGTGCTCTGATGGTGCTACATGGGGAACTGGAAACTCTTCCACATTCACGTTGCGGCAGGCAATGTAGAGCAAATTACTGAACTTCCAAAAATCTCAAAAAAAAAATCCGTATTGGTTACAATGCAGCCAATGATCACCTAACTGAACTCTTAAAAATGGACAGCAAATGGTAGCATCTCTCATGTGATCATAATCAGAGATACTTTAAATTAGACTAAGCTAAACAGCTGGAACAACTACAAGACTGAAATCCTGTATTAAAAAAATCCCTACCAAATAGTTTCTCTTATTAGACCTCAGACAAAGTTGCTACCTCCTTCTGCATCCCAGCTGCCTCCCCTGTAATAACGGAAACTATTATTCCACCTTACAGAAGCACACCTTTCTCATCACAACCCATCATTCTCGACTTCCCCAATGAAAAGTAAGTCCAGAAATATCTCCTGAAGCATTGAGGCTGGTAACAAAAGCAAATGTTTGGCCTTTTGCACTGAACAAAGATCAAATAATAAAAAGAGCTAACCCCAGTTGAGGTGCAGGCTGGTGTTTACAAACACACACACATATATTAAGGAAAAAAAAAAAAAAAACAAACCCAAAACAAACCACCAAAAAACTCCAAAGGTCAATTACCTTTTCAACTTGACGCAGTTTTTCCATCCACTCCTGAACAAGAAAGAAAGGAGAAAAAAAATCAACATCAATTTGTAGACTTCCAAGGACAGCAATTATGGTTTAAAAAAAAAAAAAAAAAAGAATTTGTAGTGTTAACAGAGATAGTAGGTTGTGTTAAGGATTAAAAAAAATAATCTGCAAAAGAAAAGTAACAGCTAGTGTTTTAATATATAAAGGCTGAGGAATCATTTATGCTACCGGAAGACATAAGCTTTAAGCAAGTAAAACAAAATAAAAGCGACAACAGGTCTCCTGCAATAGCATCTTACCAAACACAGTGCAAGCTTAACCTTTCATTAGAAATTGTTGTGGGCTCTTTTTAAGAACAGTTGGAACAATGACAAGTCCTACCCCATTTCTGGCATTTGAACTTAATACTCCCTTCTCTCCTCAACATTCGCGCACTAAGCATACACAATGCCGAGCAACCATTCTAATTAATGGCAACACCTGCTTAAAGCATGAAGGACACACACTCAGATTTCCAGTCAGTCAAAAGTCGAGTTGTTCAAGCTGTGTTACCTGGTCCTTTTTTTCTAAGGCCAAAGCCATTCCTTCAGCCATCTTGGCTCGACTGGCCTGGTGAGCTTCATTCTGCTCCTGAAACTTCCTCATGGAGGCTATCAACAGAGAATCACCAGCTATATTAAAAACTCACCTTTTGAAATAGCTTCTCAATTTTCTATATGTCATTTATAACTTCAAGGAGCAGCTTCTACAAGTAATTAGCCCCATCTTGACTCTCTACCACTAATGCTGTGCCACTTCTTACCTCACACTGCTTGCACATTGGACAAATGCCAGAAATAACAGAAGATATAATTACTGTTCCTCACTGCATTATCACAAAGCTGTACATTTCTAAAAAAGTCTCTCCTGCATGTCAGCCCCAAATCTGGCAAAAGAAGTATAACAACTACTTTGTTCAACAGCCAACACACTACTGCTTTTTACGCTGTAAATAAGGCAAGAATTTGTGTTCTAATTCTTTGCAACCGAGAGGTGTGGTTTGAAAGGAAATGATTAAAACACCCGTACATCAAACCCATTTCCTTCCAAACATAGAATTTTTCAACTTAAAAAAAAAAAAACAAACCAAACAAAAAAGAAAAGTACGTACAATCCTGATGTTTTTCTAACGCATTTTCAAGCTTCTCTTTTATCTTCTGCAAGTTTCGGATCTGATCAGCATAATCTTGTGTGAGGAGGGAGAAGCACAGACCAGGAATGAACAGACATTGAGGAAGGAAATTTTAAGAAAAAAAAAAAAAAGAAAAAAAAAAAAAAAAGGAAAAAGGATGAGTGGAAAATGACAATGATTTTCTCAATCAGAAAATCATTCCTGCTGAGAAAAACTTGGGTGACCATCACAATGAACACAAGCAATAGTTCTGTACTGTCCATAGGGTAAATGGTTGGTGCAAACAGGAGGACCTGTCCTAGGTGTGCGAGTTACACAAAACCAGGCAGTACCAGAGAATGAAGAACTACCCCACTTTTTACTTCATTCAAGAACAGTGATCTATTTAACCCTGTTAAGGAAAGGTCTTTCTCACTGGGGCATGCGAGGGTGGGACAATTCACAGGCGCTCGCATCCCCGTTCCACACTGCTCGTTGTCCAAGCCACGCAGTACCTCTGAGGCTGAGCCCTGACCAGGGCTCCCACGCGGCTAAACCTCACACTCTTACCACTGCTGAACAGACAAGGCAGGCAGATCCAAAAAAACAAAACAAAATACACACACCTTGAAGAAGTTTCTGTACAATGAAGAGAGGATTTACTTACTGATTAAGCTGCTTGCACGAGTCTCCTGATACTTAAAGTTTCCCTCTCTCGTACTAAACCCAACCAGCACTTCTAAGTTTACCTGATGCACGCAGGTGAGCGCTTTGCCCTTTCAAACTGCAATGTGAAATCACTTTTGAATCCTGGATTTCCCTGACTGAACAGGAGCCTCATAAGTCTCCAGAATAAATGGAAATAATCCTGAGCTGGCTATAACCTGTTCTTATTTTCCAAGGCCTTCTATGAGCTTTGGGAAGCAGCAACATAACAGTTTAGCCTAGTCTCTGATCCACTCCATACAACAGGGATGGAAAGCAGTGTCAGAGCAGAGCCCTTACTAGAGCTTTACAGAACCAGCTACTATCTTAGAAAGCAAAAAAAGTCTCAAGACTGTTTTATGATGAATCCTTTGCTTTTTCTTCATTTCAAAGTTCACTTCTTTAAGGATGGCACTGGATTACTGTCAACATCAGAAAGCTTAGATCCTAAGAGAAGCAAACCATTACGTACACAAAATAAGTAAAATGTGTCATGAAATCAGCAGAAAAGAGTCAGTTGTCTTTATAAAAAAATCAGTTAACTGGAAGCTACCTTGATGACTGTCAGTAGGGTTCTTATGAATCAATTTTTAAAAAAACCTAAACCCATGTATTTTTAATAAATTAAAGCACTTAAGTTCAAAGGAAAGTATCTTTAAAGTAATAGGGTTTTTTATGTATCAAGACACATACCAGACAGCTTGACCTCCAGCTTTCTTATTTGTTCATTTCTTCTGAACAACTGGGATGAAAGGTCCTCTCTAGAGCTGCTTCCATCAGAAGCCTTGGTAGAAAAACAACACTCATATAACTTATAAAATTTAGAAAAAGTGATCCTGCCATATACAAACTCTACGATAATAAACACTATCCCACCTAGCAATAATGCTTCAGTTTTTCACGTAAAGGGGGAAGTTGTACTAGCACAGCAAAATGTGTAAAAAATGCTGAGGAAGAAAAACAGTAAGGGCTTAAATAGTCAGCTCTGCAACACTGGCCTGTTCCATGAAATACAATGCTTTTAAAAGAAGCTATAGCTGAAAACTATTTGTTCAACCTGATCACTGAGGAGATGGTATAACAGGACGGATAAAGTGGGGGGAAAAATTCAGGCTCTACAGTACAGGTTTCAGGATGGGTCAAAACGAAAGTCTTTTGAAAAACTAAGTAAAGAGAAAAGAAACAGGAACACTCCTCATGAGGGACAAGCTGGCCCGAGAACCAGTGCAGCAGTCTGTCCATGCAATGCTCTCTCCATGCAAAATCCACTGCATGACCGACTGACATTACAAGACTCTCTGGGTTTTTTTTTTCCTCCATAAAAATCAACATTAAGAGCAGTTGAATATTGCTAAAACAACTAATTCTAGGAGGTTTTCTGAAAACTACTGAAGACTTCAGTCACCATCGTTATTTGTTTCCTGTTCTCCAAACTTGCAAGACAGTAAATGAAATTTCTACTTGAGAATTTATGCGCAAAAAAATTTCAGAAATACACAAGACCAATAGATTTCCACTGTAAATTATATTTAAACATTAGGGGCTCCAACTTTCTGCTTAAGAGAACTGGAATTTCAGCTGAGCTTCACAAAAATGAGTTAAAACTCAACTGTGTAAATAACTTCTCCATTTTGCAGACAGCAAAACAGAAGGATAAAGCGACTTGCTGCAATACAGCAAGTGCTGTTGGCTCCAACAGTGGTGAGACGGTGTCTTAATCCAGGTTTTCAAATATATGATAGCCATCAAGGGGCAGAGGTGCCAGAGCATTACAGGGTTTCATTTAACCCATACGGTCCTGGAATTATACTGCTTGCTTAAGCAACACTTAAGAAAATTTAAATGAAACATTGGAGAAACTGCAATAGTTTTGCATGCAACAAAAATGCACACATGTACTTGGCAGCGACATAAATAATGTATTTGAGTAGAAGGAGCACCAGGAAGCCAAGACGTAAATGCAGGTCCACAGCAAGATGACTAACCAGTATCTGGGTTGCTCTCCTACTGCTTCAGTAATTAATTTTACAAACAGGTATCTTACACATTACTACAGCTTTATTCAATATTTTAAATCTGTTTAACAATGTTCTATACTGACATAGCTTTGTAACTCACGTTTACATGGGAATATAAGCCTCCTGGTAACTACTATGGTTAACATACAAACATTTTCTCCTCAGTATTCTTCCCTGTGCAGGGGGGGAGGCGCTGGCCCAGGGTGCCCAGAGCGGCTGTGGCTGCCCCCTCCCTGGAAGGGTTCAAGGCCAGGTTGGACGGGGCTGGGAGCCCCCTGGGCTGGGGGAAGGGGGCCCTGCCCGGGGCAGGGGGTGCCACTGGGGGGGCTTTAAGGGCTCTTCCAACCCAAACCAGGCTGTTATTCCATGATTTAAGTTTATTCAAGCTACTAATTCATTTACGCATTAAGACCTACACCTACAAAGACACCACAATACATATTCAACTCACAGACTAAAGTGTTTGTCTGTAAAGACCTAATAAAAATGCTGTAAAAGAAATCTAAATTCAAAGCAAGGTGTGACTCACAAAGTCATCTCCGGAGTCCGCTCCCACCGACGTGATCGACTCCTTACTGACAGACCTGGGTATCCTGGCAGCTCCCCCTGGTCTGGGAGCAATAGCTGCCTCTTCTGCGAGCTTCTTCTTCAATTTCGCAAACATTTTACTGTTCTACAGCACTGAAATATCCAGGTGCTTTGAAACGCCACTACTGTCAATAGGTTTAATACACTGACACCGTTTAAAGCTTCCAGATGTGGAGATTTAATTCTGTGCCTCATCCACTGTTTTACTGCATTTCTTGTTCCATTAAAGCCTTCATAGCCTAACAGCACCTGCGAATTAAAGAAATATGGTTTCCACAGTAAAAATTTCTACCTGCGTTAAACATTTAAAGAGAATAACTATGCCTTTTAATATCACACCCGTTATAAAACGCTAAGAAAACAGTCGTCCGCAGCATAACCCTTTAAAAATCCCCCAAGCAACCCGACCCGAGGGGCGAGAGCGTTCACCCCGCGCCGGCGGGGGGTGGCGGCAGCCCGGCCCCCTCCCAAGGCCGAAGGAAGTTGGGGGCCGGCCGGTCCCCGCTAGGCCGGACCCCCCCGGGCAGGCCGGCCCGCGGCCGCCGCTCTGCGCTGAGGCATCCGAGGAGCCGCAGCCCCAGCCCCGTCCCGGTCCCCGACCCCGTCGCCGTCCCCGTCCCCCGCCGCCCTCACCGCCCACGGCCGGGCCTGGCCGGGACCCTGCGGCCGCCGCCGCCCCGGAAGCGCCGCGCAGGCCGGAAGCGCCGCGCGCCGCTGCGCAGGCGCGGTGGGGCGGAGCGGCCCCGCGCCCGGCCTCCCCCCCCCCCCCCCCCCGCCACCACCCCCCCCGGGACCGGACCAGCCGCCTCGGTACGAGCATTTACCACAGTTTATTAATAGCAAACTCCTTCGACACGGCCCGGAGGGCACGGTAGTGCTGACAACAGCCAAGGGATACACGGAGAGGGGACACACACACACACACACACGAACAGCGCCCGGCTCCCTCCCCCCGCACACGGCGACAACAAACGGCTCGTACACAGCAAAACCGGAGAAATACCGGGGGAGCGGGGGGGCCGCCGACGGGAACGAGAGCGTACAGAAATCCGCGCGAAAAGTCACTGGAAAAAAAAAAAAAAAAAAAAAAAAAAAGAAAAAAAAAAAGGGGGGCTGGAAGCGTGGTGGTGGCGGCAGCGAGCAGGCCTGGCGAGGCGGGAAGGAGGGCGGTCAGTTCGGAGGTGCAGTAAGAGCAGTTGGCGTTTTAATCTTGGCTTCTACTTTTCCCGAAACTTCCAGCAGTAATACAAACATACTTCTTTCCTCCCCAGGACACCAAGAACAATGGCAGAAGAGTTTCTTGGAGTACATTGCTTTGGCGGTTTACAGATCCATTGCCAAAAAAGAAAGTCTATTTGCTCCAAAAAGAGTTTATTTATATATCTCTATATATTTTAAGTAAAATATCTGTTTTTACCAAAATACGATATACAGGCACATGGCTGTAAAATAACTTTAAACCAATTCACTATAAAATTCCTTTCGGTAATAAATAATCTGATTCTCAGAGAGGCAAAACGCTCCTTTTACCCCCGCCGATGGACTGAGGCACAGCTCCTCTCCCCATTTCCAGACCCCGCTCTCCCCCGCCTTCCCCTTGTCCGTCCCGCTGGGCCTTGGCCAGGGCAGAAGCAACTTGTGCTTTTTAGCCTGCATGAGGCGGAATCCTGCTCCCAACAAGTCACTTACAATTGCAAAGTGACAATCAACACGTGCCAAAAGAAATCTGCAAAGCCAGTGGGGCAGGTACTCACAACAGGCTTTTATTCTCGATGGAGCAGCTGCTGTTACTGGATCGCTGCTTAGGGAGCTCCTCCCGGCCAGCAAGTTGCACTGAAGGCTGCTCTCAAGGTGAATGAAACCAGGATCTTTAAGAGCAAAACATCCATGCGTGCATCTGGCACATTAGTAAGTCAATAGGAATTCAGAGACGGTCCTCAATCCCCCCCCAAAAAATCTTAAGATCTGTCAAATTCAGAAATCTTGAACTAAACCTCCTCTGTCTTGGCAGAGTAATGGTTTGGAGGGAGGAAAAAAAAGGGGAGTGGGGGTGGTGTTTACTTCCACTCCTAAATACAAAGCAGATACATCTGTCTGATGTGTTCCTCCTCTGCTCTATCTGTGGACATCCAGATCTTCAAAGCACTTGCAATAACATTTGGTCACAGAAACAGTATTGCTCTAAAAGTCAAAGATATGAAAAAATGTAAGAGAGCCACCTCAGGAATGTATAATCTCTGCTTTGGAGATCCTTGCCCCTGTCCTCTGCACCAGTATCCCTCGCATGGAGGCTGACTGCAGCCAGTCTAATGTTACCGGCTTGTACAGAGCAGCTTTTAGCTCTGTATGTTAGAATTTTTTTCCCTTGTTTGTAAGATTACTCTTGCTGTTACTGCCTGCAGAGCTCCCTCAGGCCCAGGAGCAGCAGCAGCCGCCGCAGATCAGCTCCGACACCGAGCAGCCACTTAACGTGGGACGGGCAGGACTGAGCGAGGGCTCTGCCACCGCTATTCATTGGTGAGCTGTGGTCAGAACAGTTCCTGGAGAACCTAACATAGATAAAGGTTTTACAAAAGAAGCCTCAAGACAAAAAAGTTGTTCAGACAGAGTCCAAGCTTTGTAGCTTTTAGCAAAAAGCAGACTTGAAGCACAGCATGGAGTCACAGCACAGGGCAGGCGGCTGGCAGGGGAGGTGCTTCCCAGCAGCACGCCAGGGATCGACCTTGGAGTGGCACTTTCATCCCGTCCTTAGAGGAGAAGCCTGGCCAGAGCTACTGAAGTTGTAGCTTTTGACGATGATTATTTGAAGCCTAAATTCTCATCGTCCCCCCTGCTATTTTTTGTGATCCTTAAAAGACATCTCTACACATCTCCCTGGGAAACAGTCTTGAGGGATTTACGTCATGACTTGATGGGTATTATTTTGATGAACTACCCAAACAAACCGTGTTGAAACTTCTCAAGAAAGCACTCCAGGGAGCAAGCTCACAGAAATTAGTGCTCCTTTTAGCCTGCGCATGAAGCAAAATGACACATCACATCCTGGGAGTAATTAAAAACCAGAGCGTTAAATACTCACAACGCTGTATTCCCCTGTCATTGTTATTTTGATAAGTCAAAGGGGAAAAAACAAAACGCAACAGCAGTAACCGTGGCTAGATGTTCTAAAGCCAGCTTGAACAGGAGTACAAACAGAGGTGCCTACAGTGGGAGCAGGATTCCTCTGAGCATACCACATGCAGTAAGTAGGGAGCTAGGCAGAAGTTGTCCAGTAAGGACACGTTCACTCCAGTCCACATTCTCCTCTCAATGTATCACATATAGAATTTACCCCTTTAATTCAGTATCGCCTGGTGGTGGCAAGTCTTCTCTGCTAACATAAGCAATAAAGATATATGAAGAAAGGGAGAGCGAGACAAGAGGGAAGGCATTAGGCCTGAGAAGAAAAGGATTTGTTCTCTTCTCACTTAAAAATGGTACAGTCTTTGCTTCGCTTCCACACAGAGGACTGCTAGATACATAAACCAAATTTTTCTTCAGTACATACAAGCATACATCGAGAAGGTACCTACGACCATAGCACACAGCACACAGTAGCACAAGTTCAGAATGACTTAGCAAGTTCAAACAAAACAAGCTTTTACTTGGAAGGGAAAATACCAATATTTTCATCTTGAATGCAGTTGCTTTGGGTGGGGAGGGGGCTGGCTCAAAATCCAAGACCAGATACTCATCCTATCTACAACTAGAGCAGATGGAGGGTATCAGCCTTTTGCTTTCAAAGTACAATATCATACTCCTACTGACACAACAGGAGTGAAATATTTGTCTTTGAATATCCCTGCCAGCAGCGTACCTTCTGAACAAAAGGTCGGTAGGTAAGAAGAGAACAAGGGACCTCAAGAATGAATTTCTGACTCGGACAGTCATTGCTGATAAGTTCAACTTCCAAACTAATTTTCAAGGCCTTGTATTCTTCTCCTACATCCTAGCTTCTTCAGGGCTTTTGTTTTTTAAAAAGTACATTCTCCTCTGATTAGATCAAGCTTGGTATCAAGCAAACAGAACCTCTTCTTAGGGCTGCAGAGTGCATTAGAAGCCTCTCGGATCACAAACAAGGGCTCCTCATTTCAGCCCAGCTAAAACGAAGACTGGGTCCACCAACGCCTTCCCAGCCCGTTAACAAGGAACGTCCCACAGAGGTTCGCCAGCCCACACTAATGGAATCGTCAGCACTCCTATGCTTAGGAATAGCACACTCTTTTCCAGATATACAGAACCAAAATGAGAATAGCTTCATCAAAGCAAAAAGCTAAAGCAAAACAAAAGCATTTGGTCGGAAGGCAGTGAGCTGGGGAAAACTAAATTCCCCTTTTCCATGCAAGTTGAACACTGCTGGTGGAGGAACAGCAGGCAGGGCGACGGATAACCCGTCTCTCCCTTGCTGCTGCATTAAAGGCTTCCTGTATCTTTAGCTTCTACATACAATCCCATGTTTTAATAACTAGGGACCTCCTACCAGAAAGAAAGGCAGATCATCAGCTTCACAGTTAAGAATACATGAATCTTATCACTGTAATACATACAGGAGTACTCATTCCCCTGGATAACTAAGGCCTCCTGTACTTGAAATCAGTTAATGAATTACTTCAAGGCCCAAGTGCAAGTCCCTGGAAACAGCAAATTAACAATGGCAGAAGAAGAGCCATAACCTTTACTACAACCACAAATGATCTGCAACACCTTGTGGAATGCACCCAAATTGGCGTATGTGTGTATATATAAATTTTGTATATAGACATTGTACTGTTTCATTCTTTTTAATACATATACAAGTACCTATACATATATACATATTTACAATTTACACCAGCCAGTAGATGTATGTGTATTGTACATATACACACAAACGCCTAGAATACACATGCACACACACAAACACACACTCTTTAAAATAAACTCCACATCCCAGGTAATGAAGTCCTGCCATAGTCCAAATAAGAGCAGCACCAAGTGGTGGGGGCTCATTATACCAGCTTCAAGACTGCTTAGAACAAACACTAGCATTCATAGAATTTTTTTTACACTCAGGGAAATTAAAGAATGGGTGGCATAAGCTTCAGCCCAGCTCCAGAGAACCTTCATGCAAACCTCCCAGCTACACTCCAGCAATTCTTGCTGTTCCATCCTGTGCTCTCCTCAGCTGAATGGGGTCCCTCAGTGCTGACCTGCTGCCCTTCACTATTCTGGCTGACTAGATCACACCTTGTATGATGGCACTGCAAACAGGCCTACCATGCCACTAGGGTAGTCACCAAGTCCTGCATTTTTTTCACCTAAAAACAGAGGCATGGCTGGGGTTCAACATAAAAGCACCGATCAGACTTGTCCTTTCCCCTTCCTAGCAGCCCATGGAATAGAAGACAATGGACTTTTTAATTTAAGAGTTTAAAATACTTTTGTTCCCTTCTTTCTCAACCCTTCACTGTCAGGAGTTGCGAGAGGACCTCTAGCTCTGCCAGGCAGGCAGTACAGTCCAAATGGGTCAGCAAGCACTTTTCCCAGCAGTCCGA